AGAGATTAGTTTCATTAATTTTATCACACCTTGTGTTTTATTACATTTTATTTACAGTTGCAAAGAGTGTTCTGGTATGGGAAAAACAGTCTGCAACGATTGTGAAGGAAAAGGACAACTGCTGTCGTTCATTGAGCTGCAAGTTGAATGGCAAGTCATGTAAAAATAGACTGTGGTGGAAAGGGGAGGCCGCTTCTAACTGCATGGAAAATTGGCTCTGCCTACCAGAGCCGCCTGAGTTTTACATTCAGCAGCATATAGTGAAAGGATCCACTATAGTTGCTAGAAATGGTTACGCAACTGATCTGGAAAATACGGGCTTGAGGCCTCTTGTCATTTAGGTTAGCTGTATGGCCCAATCCGCATCGAAGGCTACCTTTGAGCACTGTGCCAGTTTTGTGACTTCATAAATTTATGGTCAGCGCCTGATGTGGTTCAGTTCCACCATGGGACTGCACTGTGTTTGATATATGTTGGAGATTAGGCCGGCTCTTTGACCCCACATAAAAAGCTTACATAGCAGGGGGAGCCATTTTGAGAGTGTTTGGTTTGAGAAGGCTGTTGTGCTGTGTTGTCACTGCAACTCTCCTGCCTTTTGCCTTCATAGGAAGAACAACGTTTATGAATATGTGGCAGATGAAAGATCTGGATTTCCTATCGAACTCTTCAAAACGGTTACTGGAGAGACGTTGTTTGTTGATGACAGCCCTATGGTAATGAAATGCTTTCAGGAAAAGCAGTAATGCAAAGAGAAGCATGACTTGAAAAGGAACCAACTTAAGTGTTGATAGTTAATTAATCGGTGGAGCATATTTCACCATATAATGTCCCCCAGACGCATAAATCTTTCCCCACCCCACTCCAACCTCTCTCTCACCCTGGGCCACAACACACACACAATCATAAAAGTAATTGTAGCCATACAAAAATACACAGGTACGAATGCGACATGTTTGTAAAGTCATCCAGAGCCTTTTAAAGATTTAGCGTGATAGAAAGGTTGCAGAGGCCTATGGCTGTAAACAGGTTTTCATTCATTCATAAAGTGATACTACAGTGGTACCTCAGGTTACATACGCTTCAGATTACATACGCTTCAGGTTACAGACTCCACTAACCAGAAATATTACCTCAGGTTAAGAACTTTGCTTCAGGATTAGAACAGAAATCGTGCTCCGGCCGCATGGCAGCAGCAGGAGGCCCCATTAGCTAAAGTGGTGCTTCAGGTTAAGAACAGTTTCAGGTTAAGAACGGACCTCCGGAATGAATTAAGTACTTATCCCTAGCTACCCCTATAGTTCAATTGAATCTTGCAGGAAACCAACTGGCAGCGGCGGAACATAAGCCCTTTCTCCCCTTCTCTCCGCTACCAGGTCAGGCCTGACCTGGCAGCGGAGGTGAAGCTGCTGAGGCCGGGCGCATCTCACTGCAACTGGGATGGGATGCTCTCCACCGCCAGGTCAGTAGTGAGCCCCCTCTCAAAATTGTCCCCTGGCACCCCCCACTCTATGCCTCTGCCTACTGGGTAGCTTACAGCCAAATCGTACAGCGATCCTACTATTTTAGAACTAGCCATATGCCCATTTTTTGACAGATTTGTGTTCTAGCTCAGACATAACAAGTTAGATATATATATATTGTTGCTGCATCCTAGATCCTAAGAAACCCTTCTGACCAGGGCTTCCTGACCCCCAACCCCAACAGTGGCAGTAAGAAAATAGATTTAGACAGGAATGATGGTTTTAAACGCAATCTTCCAAATAGCTTAATAATACATTTAATGGATTAAAAGAAGTTTTTCATACCCAGTGATTTGTTAAGACATGATTTGAAGATTTTGCATCTTCATGGCATTTCCAGAAAACATTCATATAGTTTGTGTGAGGCTGGGGTATACATTTTCTATAAAGCACCCTCATAGTTCCCAAACTATTGCTGGCTTTGATAGCCAAGGCAAACCTTGTGGACCTATCGCTCTGCACGAAGTCAGGGACAATTCCCCACTTTCTTCCCGGCTGGGGAGGATGTGGGTAGGGCAACCCAGGGGAGAACAATCTCTGTGCTCCTCCTTCCAGTCATGGTGTTTTGGTGTTGGGTGACAGTGGCGCTTGGCCCACTTCAGTAGTGCATTTGTCAAATGGCAACACATTTTTCTGTGGAAGCCCACACTGGGGCTTGTTTTGGCACTGGGCTGCCAGAGCGTTAGAAGTGCCAAAGTGGGAACCCAACCTCTCTCTGGCTCCCATTTCCACTAGACGTTGAAAACAGCATCACACCACATTCAACAGTCATGGCTTTCCCCCAAGGAATCCTGGGAACTGTCTTTGGTTAAGGATAATCAGAGTTGTTAGGGCTCCAGTTTCCAGAGTGGTTTACTAATCCCTCTTCCCAGGGAACTCTCCTGATAATTTTGTGTAAAAGAGAGAGGGCTGGACAGGGACATACTGGGCTGCCCAGAAACAGCCTGGCTTCATCATCTCGTATTGGCAACAGTAGTTTGCTCTGCATTTTACTTACCTGTCCGCAGTGCAGGCAGGAGGTATGCAATTGCATTTTAGAGATCGGCTATGCTTCATGTCTACACAATGTGATAAAACAATGACTAGCCCAATCTTTCTCCTCGTTCAGGACTTCAGTTTTCTATTTGTATGTCTTTGAAATTTGTGTTTCCATAGGTATATCCAGTGATTAGTTTCCCTGATTTTGGCGTCAGTCAAGCCTCCAGCTATGCCGTTGAACAACACCAAGCTCAGTTTGCATCTACAAGGCGGATACTCAGGCAGGCAAGTGCTGTGAATATTAACCAAATCACCACTGAGGCGATGGTCCTCGGTGCTGTGGTCCAAGAGAATTGCCTGTGCCCTTGCAAACATTCTAAGCTTTGTATGCTTTTTCCATATTGTATGGCCAAGTTCCTACATTGGCAGCACCCTAGGCTAAGGGATAGGGACGGGGAACTTCTGGCTTTTCAGGTGTTGTTGCACTCCAGCTTAAGTAAGCCCAGCAGGCATGCCCAACGGTTTGGGACAAGAACGTCAGGAGCGTCCCAGATTCCCCATACCTGCCAGATAGGGCCTCAGCATGTCCGTATTCAGAATGTGCCTAACTGTTGTAATTCTTCTATGTATAAAAGAAAGCCATTCAGGTTTGAACTTTTCTGTGAACGATACACTGATGTTTAGACCCTAAAAGTATCTTCTTTGTGTTTTTACAGAGGCAAACAATTGAGCTGATACTTCTCACCAGGGTACAATATTTGTGGCATGGAAAACCTTACTCCTTCTATGTTTATGGCAAGGAACGCAAGGTGCATGCGGAGGATTATCCACAGAAGTGTTGCTGTACTATCCTGTGATTATTATGGGCTAAAAGAAGCCCTGTTGATTAAAACTTGTGGAATATTTGCAGTCCCTCCTCAACCCATTTTTATTTTATAAATGAAGTTTATTGACCCACTTTATAAGAATTGTGGAAGATGCTTAAATAAATTGGACATAAAGGACTAAAGTTTGCCAAACTCCAGAATTACATATTAGAAGGAGAAAGAAGAGCAATCAGTGCAAGGATGTCTTGTGCACAACAAAACATTCCTGCCCCCCCCCAGCGTGTCTCCTGAATATGTTCTTTTTTAATGCTTTATTGATATTAAAAAGATATAACAAAGAAATATATATATAATCAAAATAAAAATACAAAAAGAAAATCTCATTATTTGTTCACTGTACATTCTTGAGTTCCCTACGACTTCCCGCCACCCCATCATGCATTTACTACTTATTTTATCTAGTGCACTATTAATCTCCATTTTCTTTTTAATCGTCAATAATATATTTTCTTATAAATATCCATCGTAACACACAAGTCATTCATATCCTGTCACATTTATACTAGTACAATAATCTTTAAGATATTTTTTATACATGTCCCATTTCCAAATAAATGTTTGTTCAGTATTACCTCTCAATTTGTCTGTCATTTTTGCCAGTTCAGCAAACTCCATCAATTTACTTTGTCTCTACAATTTTGTTGGGATTTTCTCTCCTTTCCAATTGATTGTGATTAATATTCTTGCTTCTACAGTAGCATACAAGAAGATTTCTCTCGCGATTTTTGGTATGTCTAGGCCAAGTATCCCTAATGGAAAAGCCTCTGGTTTTTTTATGAAGGATACTTTAATCATTTCTTAGAGCTCATCTTAGATTATGTTCAAAAACTCCTTAATTTTCTTGCATGTCCACCACATGTGTAACATTGATTCTAACGCTTCGCAAATATTTGCAACATTTGCTTGAAATATTTTTATACATTTTAGGTAATTTTAGTGGTGTCGGGTACCATCGGAATTGCATCTTCATAAAATTTTCTTTTAGGGTGTAACATGCAGTGAATTTCATATTGACCTTCCATAAATTTTCCCAGGCAGTCATTGGGATGTTGTAGCCAAAGTCTTGGGCCCATTTGACCATAACAGATTTTACCTCCTCCTCCTCCTCCTTGACCTCCCTGTCAAGGAGGAGTCTATACATTTTGGAAAGTATTTTTGTTTTTGAGTTTACCAATTCTTTTTCCAGTCTGGATGGTCCCAGCCTGCCTAGAGGAGAAAAGGGGTTGGGCTTTGTTGGTGCCAGCAGCAGCAGCGCTTGAGCGGCTGCCATTTTAAGCAGCCCCTCTCCAGAGCCTGGGACATAAAAGATATGTAATGAAGGCACTGGATGAACCTCCCTGGGGTCAGCAGTCCACAGATGGGGAGCCATTGCAGAAAGGCCCATTCTCATGTTGCCACCTTCTGGACCTCACGTGGAGCAAGCACATGAAAAAGCGTCTCGGATCATGATTGCATCCAGTTCCAAGGGCCTTCTGGCATTTCCCTCTTTGTGAGAAGTGAAGTTACAGGAAACCAGGCAGAGGGACTGCCCTGTGGGACACCCTCTCATCAGATGTCAATGAGATGACAATATATAACCTTGTGAAGACATCTGAAGGCAGCCCTGTATAGGGAAGCTTAACGTTTGATGTTTTGTTGCGTTCTTTTACATTCTGTTGAAAGCCACCTAGAGTGGCTGGGGCAACCCAGCCAGATAATAATAATAATAATAATAATATCTTTATTGTCATTGCCCCCTCTCGGGGACAACGAAATTACAGATGAGTGGAGTACAATAATTTTATTATTATTATTTTATTGCCCCAGTGAGCAATCTGGCAGCTGAATTGTGCACCAGCTGAAGTCTCTGTACAGACTTCAGAGGCAGCCCTACAGTCCATCCCTCCACCATTTGCTCACTTGTTTTGCAGCTTGCTTGCTTGGTCAGCCACTCGGTGAGGGGGACCTCAGTTGGTCAGTCACTCTGCTGCTCATTTGAACATTTGATCATTCCACTGTCTGGCCAGTCACTCCATCACTTGGTTGGTCACCTTGTCAGTCCCTTGGTCAGTCTGCTGCTCACTTGGTCAGTCACTCTGCCATTTGCTACACACCACATGATTGCTTGCTCTGCTACTTGGTCACTTGTTCAGTTGCATAAATTCAATCAATCAATAATGCCAGCTTGAATAGGTAAAGGGTAAAGGGGACCCCTGACCATTAGGTCCAGTCGTGACCAACTCTGGGGTTGCGGTGCTCATCTCGCTTTATTGGCTGAGGGAGCCGGCGTACAGCTTCCGGGTCATGTGGCCAGCATGACTAGGCCGCTTCTGGCGAACCAGAGCAGCGCACGGAAACGCCATTTACCTTCCTGCCAGAGCGGTACCTATTTATCTACTTGCACTTTGACGTGCTTTCGAACTGCTAAGTTGGCAGGAACAGGGACCGAGCACCAGGAGCTCACCCCGTCGTGGGGATTCGAACCGCCAACCTTCTGATCGGCAAGTCCTAGGCTCTGTGGTTTAACCCACAGCGCCACCCGCGTCGGCTGCCCTAAATGCTTGCCTCTAACTGCCTCCCCTGATGATGATAGTGCCAGGTGTGTTCTTCTGGGGAGAGCATCCACAGACTGGGGAACCTCTTAAAAGGCTTTTTTTCTCATGTGGCTGCCCTCTATTCCTCCCTCGAGTGAGAGACTTAGTACTACAATGGTACAGGCTGTTGGTGTTCTGCATGAGATGCCAGCAGTACTGGCAGTAGAGAATACAGTGTTATACACACTTCTCTGGGAGTGAGCTCACTGAACTGAGCAGGACTTTTATCTAACTGGACATATATAGGATTGCACCCTTAGCATCCTCCACACTAAAACCCTGGTATCCCGGGAAAGGTGGGAAGGTGTCACTGATTCAGCTGTTGGCCATCTGATACTGAAAGCTATGAGGAACCATACTGCACTTAAACATTTTGTAATGCTTAAAAGGCTGCCAGATGATCTGAAGTACCATAAAACTGGGCAGACAAGAGTTGGGCTCCCATTCAATGCCGCCCTTGTTCTTGTACAGCTTTTGTTCTTGTACTGCTTTTCAGTTCTACAGTGCCATCCTGTGGTCAAAATATAAAAGTGTTTCTCTTTCTTTAACAACAATACTGTACTGTAGTAACTTTTCCACTGTTCCAAAGAACCCAAAGCTGTCCTTTTGAATTCTAGGGTGAAAGGGGGTTGTTTGTTTGTGTATCTGAAGTTTGATTGAACTGGGTAAAAGCTGTTGGCAACGGGGGCTACCATACCACGAGCTACACATAAAATCCCCCACACCCCTCACTGTCGTATATGAACACTTTTGCATAAGCATAAATATGCACATAGGCAGATGGTTATAGGGCACTGAGCAGCCCTATGGCTCCTGGCAGATAGACCCAGTGACTTCCTATCTGAAACACAAAGCTTCCATTGCAAGCAGGAGAGCACCCTGGGGAAGGGGTCAAGACGCTGCACGGCTTTTGTAGGTGGTCTTGGATCTCCCACTCTTCCCCACCCTCACATTTTATTTTATTTTCTGCCTACATGGCAATTGGGCACACTGCAAATCACAGTGCCATGAGAACCTAGCTACAGCATCTTCCTTCTTCATTTGTAGAGGACCCACAAGTGGATAGGGGGCTAGGAAAGCCATCGTTCAGAGAAATCCCTGATAGTGAGAGCCAGAATTTTGTTCCTCCCACCTAAGTCAGCCTAAACACATAAATCAGCAGACACAATTTTTAGGCAGTTGTGTGTCATGGGCTTGTAACTCAAGTCTTTTATGTGCCCAGAGATATCCCTGTTTGCAAGTCTGGCAAACTAAACTCTTTGTTGTTGGTTTTTCCTGCTACGTCTCTATTAGAGAACAGGATTGTTGATTTTGAATAGTTAATTTGTAACACTGCAGCTTTATGAAACGCATTTAGTTGGTCAACCATAAAGCTTCCCTTGGATTCTGAACCATTGGATTTTGATCCATTAAACCCTTTGCTTTGATGGTACCACCTAGGTCACAGCATCACTCTGCCTGGGTCAGCTGACTCCCAGGGTCCTCCCCTGTCTTCTAGGCCCAGTAAAGCTCCATCTAACTTGTTGCTCAGTCTGACCAACTTGTTCCTGGTGTGGAGACACTGCCCAAATCCCTGCTTGCTTCTGTGAACCTTGACCCCTGTCTGTGCCAAGCCCTCTGATATTTGTTCACTATAGGTTCTGGCTCATGTGGACTGCCAGCCCGTTACCGCCAGCCTCAAAACCTGGCTAACTAGGGCCTGACAACAGCTCTTGTGTGACAACAGCTCTTGTGTCTCTAAGGTTTTGAACAGCCACAAAATTAATCTGTGTGCACTGGAATGTACACAGGAGTGTGGATACCACCTGTCCGTGCAGTTTGCTTTCAGTGGGGTGGATCCAGTTTTAGCTACTCTGTTTTAGCTACTCACCTGCATCTGGACCCTCTGATCCTATTTTGCTGCTCTGGAATTCAACACCTGTGTGTTTGGGACCACAACACTTACTTCTGGACTGGCAGCCATCTCCCATGGCTGGACGAAGCTCCTCTGGATCCAACTCAAAGGATGTACTTTCAGAAGTACATGTGAAATGACAACCCAACCCATATTCTAGCACAGCTTTGAATAAAATACTTCATGAGGCATGACTGATGCTTGCCTGACATTTAACATTTAAAACAACTAGGATTTTAAGAAATAAATATGCATTGCAAAACTAAAAGAGCCCCCTTTGCTCTCAAGACTCAGTACAGTGGTACCTCAGGTTACATACGCTTCAGGTTACATACGCTTCAGGTTACAGACTCTGCTAACCCAGAAATAGTGCTTCAGGTTAAGAACTTTGTTTCAGGATGAGAACAGAAATCGTGCTCCAGCGGTGCGGCAGCAGCAGGAGACCCCATTAGCTAAAGTGCTTCAGGTTAAGAACAGTTTCAGGTTAAGAACGGACCTCCGGAACGAATTAAGTACTTAACCCGAGGTACCACTGTATGTGTGTTCTTCCTAAAAGTATTTGGTCAGTAATGATGTCACTGGATTTCTATGTGTACAATTGGTTTTTTTCAGCCAGCAACAACATGGAATTAACTGCAAGGCCAGTTAACTTGATCCTGAATCTTCCAAGGTTTTCTATGCCAGCAAAAAAGAGGAACTGCCATTACACAATCAACATCCTGCTTAAAGAAAGTACAATCCAGCCCCCCTCCCGCTGCTTCTTCTCCAGTGTTATGTAGCAATTGAGCAGCGAGCTGCAGTTTGACAGGGGCTGTGCACATGTGTCCTTGTAAACTTCCGACAAACAGACCAACTTCTGCAGAAAGAGAGGCCTTCTGGGAAGCAGGAACTTTCTCTCTCCCTCCCCGCTACCCAGCAAAACAACAACAGCTGCCTTTCAGTAGCGATGGAGAAAGACCTGCTTATGGGGTGAGTTGTTATTTAACAAAAACAATTTTGTTCTACTAAATAAAGCCATATGTGGTACATTTTTTAAAAAAAATAAATGTTGAAGAGAAATCCGACAGTAACGGCAACAGATGAGGAGGTAAAGAGGACTCATCATTTCCAGTACATTAGCTGGCACTGATAAAATACAATTCACAGTGTATTTCTTAATAGAGTTGCAAGTGGAACCCTATGCCAGATTTTTCTTTTTTTACCCATATGCTGGAAATGCTTTTGCTTCCCAGTATAACAGTCTGTTCTGTTCTATTTTCTGTTGATTTGTTTTGTTTTTTCTTCATCTGTTACATAGGACAGAGCAAATCCGTGGGAACTGAAACAAAATGCTACAGTCTGGAGTCCTCCTGTTCAGGAATCCAAACACTCCAGACACCCCTTTCCCTTTTTTATGTCCCTTCCTACCTCCTTCCCCAAGTCAGCATTCTGTGGCCACGGAGCATGCTCAGTCCTTCCTGGACTGGGAGGGTGTTTCCTTGCTGAAGATTTTTTTGTATGTTCAGCCAGCTGATACCTCTCCCTCATATGTGTAGATGGTGTGATTTTGGCTACATAAGAACCACATTTGGGGGATTTGTGATCACTGGTGGTATATATGATAGTATTCAAGCTAAGAATACGGCTTTCGATTTCTCTTTTTATTAAGGGAATTTTTTTAGATAACTCAAATATTCAGCAGTGGTTCAGATAAGCAGCAGGTGAATTGGGCAATATGCTCCCATACTTAGACGGCAGGTGGGGGAATGTTGTGGCTGAATGACCCTCCATAGAAAAAAACCAGGCCACCTGCATGTAGAGAACTCGATGTCAGACAGAAGGGTTTTAGCCTAGCCTTCTCTCTTAGGCCCCAACGGCACTATATATTGAAAACAGTATCACAGTACTTTAAGCAGCCATGGCTCCCCTCAAAGAATCCTGGGAACTGTAGTTTGCTACAGGTTGTTGGGAGTTGAGAGTTGTTAGGAGACTCCCCTATTCCCCTCACCGTGCTACGATTCCCTGAGTTCCCTGAAAAGTGGGGTCAGCTGTTAAACTGCTCTGGGAATTGTAGTTCTGCCTGGTAGCCCTAACCCCTAGCCTCTGCCCTTGATTGTAACATCTGCGTGGGAAACGGTCTGTGTATTAATATACAGTGGTACCTCAGGTTAAGAACTTAATTCGTTCTGGAGGTCCGTTCTTAACCTGAAACTGTTCTTAACCTGAAGCACCACTTTAGCTAATGGGGCCTCCTGCTGCCACCGTGCTGCCGCCGCCCGATTTCTGTTCTCATCCTGAAGCAAAGTTCTTAACCTGAAGCACTATTTCTGGGTTAGCAGAGTCTGCAACCTGAAGCGTCTGTAACCCAGGGTACCACTGTACACTCAAACCTCAGTTGTTGAACACAATCTGTTCCAGAAGCCCGTTAGGCTTCCAAATTATTTGACAGCCAAAGCGCAGCTTCCAATTGGCTGCAAGAGCTGCTTTAACTCAAGTGGCAGCTGTGCTGGATGTTCAGCTTCCAAAAAATGTTCGGAAACTGGAACACTTACTTCTGGGTTTTCGGCGTCCGGGAGCCGAAACGTACGATCACAGAGGCGTCCGGGAACCAAGGTTTGACTGTTACCTGAAAGCATATTGGCTCCTGCAGGATCCAGATTACACCTTCAGAGACTCCCCTTTAGGGTGCAGGTGCACAGGCTTCTGGGTAGAAGTTGTGAGAAGGCTGGGCTGGGTGTGGGGATAGGGCTACAGATGAAACTCTGTCTCCCCCCAGCCCCCCAGCCCCCCCAGCTCTCTACCCAGGTTGACCATCTGCACAGGCTCAGGAAGTCGGTAATGATTTGTGGTACAATAAGCAATTGTGTTTCTTCACTATGGAAAAATCCATGCCTCCTTATCTGTACATTCAAGGCGTACAGCGCCATCAGTCACAGGACAGGAATATCCCAAAGGTGCCCTGTCAGTCTGGCATGCTTAACTGCCCTACCTTATAGCCTTGGGGAACAGCTGACTGTCACGTTGAGTCAGAAAGATCCAACTCTTTCAAAAGAAGTTAAGCGACGTTCTTTTGTTTGCCTTCTTTCAAACAGAGACGGAAATTGTGCAAGTTATGGAAGTGACGGTGTCCTCTCCCCAAAGATTGCACAAGGTAAGGCAAACCTAGAGTTAGCCAGCCCTAGGCTGAGATAAGATCTGAAAACAGTTTCCAAGCAAAATCTACAAGATGGGCAGGGTATTTACAGTCTCCGGGTTTCTTGTAGTGCAAAACAGATGAGAGAAGAGGCTGGTGGCAGTGCAGCCAACATACACGTATACATTGTATAGGAAAATCACTGAACTTTGTTTGACTTGGGGCACAAGTGGTCGTGAATAGCTGCTGGTGCTTGTTTAGTTTCCCCAGGATTTCACACAGGGGAAATTCCTTTCCTTCACTGGAGACGCCTGGGGCAGAAGAACCTTCATGCAAAATCTACCACAGAGCTATAGCCCAAATATATATATAATAATAATTTTTAAAATACAGTGGTGCCTCGCAAGACGAAATTAATTCGTTCTGCAAGTTTTTTCGTCTTGCGAATTTTTCGTCTTGCGAAGCACGGTTTCAAAAGAAGTTTTGGAAAAGTTTCAAAAATCACCAAAGTCTTCAAAAACCTCAAAAAAGGCTACCACACCGCGTGCAACTGCACCTCTTCAAGCAATGCACCCTGGGTATTAACGGTTTTAAGAAAAAGGAAACAAACTTGCAAGACGTTTTCGTCTTGCAAAGCAAGCCCATAGGGAAATTCGTCTTGTGAAGCAACTCAAAAAACCAAAAACCCTTTCGTCTTGCGAGTTTTTCGTCTTGCGAGGCATTCGTCTTGCGAGGTACCACTGTACTATTCTTAATTTCATTTATATCTCAGTAGCTATGTTTTATATTTTTAACATGATTGTTCTATACTGTTAAAGGTAAAGGGACCGCTGACAATTAAGTCCAGTCGCAGAGGATTCTGGGGTTGCGGCACTCATCTCGCTTTACTGGCCAAGGGAGCCGGCATTTGTCGGCAGGCAGTTTTTCCGGGTCATGTGGCCACCATGACTAAGCTGCTTCTGGCGAACCAGAGCAATGCACGGAAACACTATTTACCTTCCCGCCGGAGTGGTACCAATTTACCTACTTGCACTTTGACGTGCTTTCGAAGTGCTAGGTTGGTAGGAGCAGGGACCGAGCAACGGGAGCTCACCCCGTCGCGGGGATTCGAACTGCTGATCTTCTGATCGGCAAGTCCTAGGCTCTGTGGTTTAACCCACAATGCCACCCACATCCCTTCTATAATGTCAGTTGGCACTTTTCAGAACAACTTCCTCCTTCCAGCATTCCCACCACCCCCAATTTCTATGCCTCTCTCCTAGACAAAATATCAGTGATAGAAATGGCATCCCAACGAACAGAAAAGCTCCAATATTGCTAAATTAGATTTGGCTTTTTTTTTTTACTGTTGCTGCCAAATATTATTTTCTAAGAATACAAAAACATTGAATCCATATACTACTCCATGTAGTATAGCCTGGCATGTTAGTGCAACTTGGTTTGTTTGTTGGACTAACTAGAGCTAGAATATGCTACACTTTTATGAGTTTGGATATAATGCCTGCATATAGACCATACATTTAAAATACATCACCTCAAGGATCCTAGAAAATGTAGTTTGCCCCCCATGGAGCTAAAACTCTTAGCACTCTTAACAAACTACAGTTCCCAATATTTTTGGGGTGTGTGCGTGTGATTTAAATCTGCTTTAAATGTATAGTGTGCGTGCTGCCAATGAGAAACAGCAGTATAGTGGTACCTCTGGTTGTGTACGGGATCCATTCCAGAGGCCTGTTCGCAACATGAAAAGAGCGCAACCCGCAGCAGCGCGTCTGCACACGTGTGGGTCTGCACATGATGTCATTTTGTGCTGCTGTGCATGCGCAAGCGGCAAAACCCAGAAGTAACCCTTTCCGGTACTTCCAGGTCGCCGCAGGACGTAACCTGAAAGAACGTAATATGAATCAAACGTAACATGAGGTATGACTGTATATTCAAAACGGAAAGTAGACATTTTCAATCTTGCTCCCTAATGCACAGTGAGGAGGGAGGTTCACTACCGCACATTCTTGTAGCAGAAAACCATAGTTTCTAGTCATATGTGAATTGGGACAGACTTTTCCTGTGAAAATCTGACAATTTAAGCACATTCCCTCTGAGAGTTGAAATACATTCATTCCTTCAAAATGAGATTCTCACCATTTTGTCTGTCTGCTCTCAGAACAAAATATTTGGATGCCTGTGCTATTGCAGAAATGCCCCCTGTTTGCTGTGGATGATGAACAGAAAGCTCCACCTATATTTTCTCAAGCACTTCCTCTAATGCTCTAACCACGTGTGTTGTGAAATGCCACATACTTAATCGGTTCTCCTTCAGAAAGTTCCACTGACACATTCCTCCTCAAGCGTTGCACCTTACAAAGCTGTTAAAAGGAGTTTCTGCTCAAATATTTACTCATCCTCTGACGCTGTGAAAGATACTTTGGCCATAGCAGCAATCGGCCTACTCACACTCTCTGGGCTAATGCCTTAGGCTTCTTTGGAAACAAGAGTTTTATTCGAGGAATCTTCCATGCGCAGAACAGAGCGTTTGAGAGGCAGCTGGAACAGAAAAGGCATGCCTGGTATGTGAGACAGAGGAGCTTAAATCCAAACATCTTCTTTTCTTTAGGAATTGTTTAGAGCAAAATTCAGCAGTGGTATCTAGCGTGCTGGAGCTAGACTTCAGAGTTGTTTTGGAGTGCCGCTGGTAAACGGTTCCACACAAATAGGGTGGGAGACTCAGAGCTGATTAAGACTGGACCTTCCATTTGAAATCAAAGTAAAGGAAACGAAAACAAAACCGAGAGAGCTGGGGATATTCACTCAGCACTGCTTCTAGCAACAGCAGCTTGTGCAAAACAAGAAAAGGGATGTACTAACTGGTGTGAACTAGACAGGCACTGAAATAAAGGAAAGAAGCATCAACTCCATAACACATCCAGAAGCTTATGTAAGTAAGAATAACATTCTCTAACATGTTTCCTTTTCTTCTGTATGTTTTGAGCTTCACAAATAAGTTCCCCCCTACAGAGGCCTTGAAAAAGTAAGCCAAATCTGGCGTTTCTGTATGTAAACTGTGTGAGAGAGAGAGAGGGGAGGGAGAGATTTTATTTACTAACAACACAATCCTTTACTGTATGTCTACTCAGGAATAAGTTTCATTCAGTTCAGTGGGGCTTGATGCCAAATAAGTGTGTATACGATTGCAGCCAAACAAATTAGGGTTCGGCATAAGCTGTCTGACTAAAATGGAATCATGCTCATTTCAAGGAGATGACTTTGATTCAGGGAGCTGACAGTATGTTCCATTTGATTAAAATAGAAAATCTTCACATCACACCAATATCTGTATATTATTTCCCAAAAATGAGTGGTGTTCGGACTTATGCATCAATTGAAACAACTGCCTCTGACTTCATTTTAACCTCTCCCATTCTGCTCCAGTATGTTCTATGGACTATCTACCGGTAATCCATATCTATCTTCTGATCATCTTTATTGTTCAGCACAGGAATTTAATAACTGTATTCACAGTCAGGATCAATCCAGTATACTGTTACCCAGGGCTTTTTCAGGGGGAACTCACAGGCACTCAGTTCTGGCACCTCTCAGGTGGGTGCCATTGGCATTCTAAGAGAACGAGGGAGGTGTTCATGGTGAATTCCAGCATCTTTTTCTAGAAAAATACCACTGTTGTTACCTGTGGTTGGTGTTCAAAGGGATTGCAGGCTTTCCCAAGACTGCATGATTTAAGAAAGTGTATGGTGTTGAACAAAGTTTAGTAATTTACTTGGCAGGCTCTATTTTTTTATTGTTCCATTTCAATAGCACTGTCCATTTAAAATAATTCTAACAGAGGTTTTCCCCCTGAACCTTTTCATCCTCACAAGTTAGGCGATTATTCTTCTCCATTTTACAAACTGAGAATTTTCAGATAAAAGGGATTTTCTTGTAGCTGGTAGATTTGACAGTCCGTTTCCAAGATCCATGTCCAACACATCACCTGTTGGAAAACACTGGACTTAACAATGCCAGCGGTAATCATCTTTTCACTGTGTCTAGCACATACACTTAAGAAGGGAGACGAGTTCTTGAAATGTTGGGCCCTACAGATGATATTTTACAGGTGCATTCAGGATGATTTGTGCTCATGATGCTATTGTGTGATGCTATCACACACACTCCTGTATTCTAGCTGATTTTTGCCTTCAAAATTTTCAGGGCAGTCTCATGGTATGAATAGCAATCCACGCATGGTCAGTAGCTTCCAGCAAAGATCCCAAAACTTTTAACACCAGAAATATTTCATGGCAGCATGCCAAACTGAAGTTGCTTCTTCGTGATGCAACCATTCCCACATACATCCTGTTGATTCTTTTTGTGTTTGTGTGTGGAACTGAACACAGCTTAAGCGCGGCCATCAGAGCCTGAGCATTAAAAATGCAAGAGCAATAGTGTGGTGTTGGCATGGCGCCATAGTGCAAATAGCTCACTCTCTTTTGCTACTTGGCTTGCATCAGGAGCATAAAGAAGAAGCTTTGTGGCTGGCTGAGCCTGTTAGGGTTTTGTTTTGCAGTAAGGGGAAGTGTGTGTGTGTGTGTGTGTGTGTGTGTGTATCAGTGGGTGTACAGAAGCAACTGAGGAGTGGGGAACAGGTAGCTCTTTCCCTCCATCTCTCCCTCCTCCGTACCCTCCAGCATCTTTGTCCAGCTGCCGGGGGCAGAGAGGGAGGCATCAAAAACTGGATTTCCTGCTGCAGGCAAAGGAGAAGAGCACATCTGCCACCGATGGAGAACTGTGCAAAAGAGCAGGTTGGCAAGGCATCATAGCACAACTAACCTCTATTGTTGAAAATAAGAGGAAGGATGGCAATAACAATTTGAAAGGAACCAAAGGAAGCTAGCGCACACGCCACGATGTGGAAGTACTGAAGAACAATTATTTAATGGGAGGATCAGCAGATGCCCAGTACCAAACCATCACAAACCCAGACTTTGGAACTCCTTCCCTGGAGAAGCTAGACTGGCTCCCTCCTTGCTGAAGATGCCTTTGTGCTAATGGGCTTTTGGGAACTGACTGCTTTTAATGAACGGGCTGGTGCTGTGCTGTTTTTACTGTAATCATTTGTGCATACACACACACACACACACACACACACACACACCCCCAATACAAATGATTACAGTACATATATATATAAATATATATATGTATAAATATATATATGTGTGTGTGTGTGTGTTTAATTGTTTTAATGATGGGGTTTTCCTATGTTTTTAGCAGTTCTTATTTGTATCTCTAAGGTGCCTCGAGTCCCATCAGAGAAAAAGTCAGGGTATAAATAAATAACTTACTACTACTACTACTACTACTACTAATAATAATAATAATAACTTGTTGATGCATACACTTGCAAAAAGAAACCCATCTGGAGGAACCTTCTGTGAATTACCCTGTTCTGTATCATCTTTCTGTGTTTTAGGTGCATCTTGTAATTCATCTCTCTGGGAAGGAGCCTCTGCCCCTCCTTGTGAGATGATGGACAACAGCCCTGAGGATGAAAAGGAAACTGTTGCAGATGCTGGTGAGTTGACATTTACACGAGTCCAAGCTATTAGAGGTTTCCTTCAAAAAATGGAAGTCTTGTCCAAATGGAGAGAACAAAAAGGAACACAAACTTTGGCAAAAGAAAAGAAAAGTGCAAGCAGACAGTAAGAGATACTGAAAAAGAATTTGAGGACTATATTGCTAAAAAATATTAAGGCTGACAAAAAAGCAATTATTTAAATATATTAGCAAGAGACCATCTAGGGAGATGGTTAGACCCTTGGATGACAAGGGAATCAAAGGAATGCCAAAGGAGAATCAGGAGATTGCGGAGAAGCTGAATTAAGTATTTGCACCTGTCTTCACAATGGAAGATATGGGGCAAATCCCAGTGCCTGTACTAACTTTTGCAGGAGAGGAGTCTGAGGAACTGAGGCTGATAATGGTGATGAGAGAGGAAGTTCTAGGCCTAATAAACAAAATGAGAACTGACAAATCACCAGGTCTGCACTCACAACCAATATATTTAGGAGCAAAACAACCAAAAGCTAGTTTTAAAAAGATTGTTTACAATTGCTGACAGAAGCAGCGGCGTAGCGTGGGTTGTCAGCACCCGGGGCAAGGCAAGTAATTTGCGCCCCCTAACCCGTGGATTTGCGCCCCCTAACCTGTGGATTTGCGCCCCCTAACCCGTGGATTTGCCCTAACCCCAGATGTTGCGCCCGGTGCGGCCGGCCCCCCCTGCACCCCCCACGCTACGCCACTGGACAGAAGACAAAGGGGATGATGACATCCTCTCGGGGCGCTGTCTGCTCCAGTGTTCTGTGGTCCATCTTGAATCATTATCTCCTTAACACCACCCTACTCCTGAAGTTGCTTTATTGGAAGCCACCATGGAAAAAGCAATCCCTCCAACTGTGCCTTGGAAAGCAATGGCGCATGCCGGGCTGGGGAGCGGGCACTGATCTTACTGGACAGGGAAATTATCATGAAAAAAAATACAGTCTTTCAAGTAGTTTGGCCCAAGCTGCTTCAAACTTTTAAGGTAATAACCAGCACCTCAAGTTGCACCTAGGAAACAAATTAATTGGAAAGGACAGACATTACAAATATATCTTTTTTATTCCATTGCAGAGAACCAGTCCATTTCTGATATACCTGCTCACATGTCCTGTGAAGAATATGAGGGACTCCCACCATATCTAAGAGAGGGAAAGTAAGACATTTCTTTAATCATTGTTTCAGGGTGTTGTTACGAGTGATTGTTAAAACTATTGGGTGGAATCTTGACTGGAAAAGACCTGGAGAGCTTCAGCCAACCAGTGTAGACCAGGGATAATCAATGTGGTGCTTCTAGATTTTGTTGGACTACAACTCTGACCATTAGCCCATACTGATTGGTGCTGATGGGAGTTGCAGTTTAACAACACCTGAAAGGCACCTCTGGTGTAAAGGTAAAGGACCCCTGGACGGTTAAGTCCAGTCAAAGGCAACTATGGGGTTGCAGTGCTTATCTCGCTTTCAGGCTGAGGGAGCCAGTGTTTTTCCACAGACAGCCTTCTGGGTTATGTGGCCAGCATGACTAAACTGCTTCTGGCACAACAGGACACTGTGACGTTTACCTTCCAGCCGCAGCGATACCTATTTATCTACTTGCACTAGCATGCTTTTGAACTGCTAAGTTGGCAGGAGCTGGGACAGAGCAACAGGAGCTCACCCCGTCACAGGGATTCAAACCGCCGACCTTCTGATCGGCAAGCCCAAGAGGGACAATACTGAGCTAGCTAGACCAATGGCCTCACCGCAATCACTACTGAAAAGGGTTGACTGTGTGTTACCACCTTCATGTTGCTATTATTTTTACCTGCCCTTCACCCTAAGGTCCGAAGGTGGGTTCACAACATTAAAACACAATATTATAAACAGCTTAAAACAGCTTAGAATCACAGAAATAATGTGGGCCCCAAAACACACATCCTGTCCAAAGCAGCCCTTGAAGTTGTTCCAATTTTGTTAACGTTCAGGCATTTTTAAGGCTATAAATTCCAAGTATAAAGTTATCTAGCAAGTACTACAAACTGAAACATGTCTTGATTTCCTTTCCCAGTGTCCTCTTTGCTTCTGAGCAAGATGTTAAAGAAGCCTTCCTACAGTACGCAGCCAGTAAGCGTTGCTATAGCACAGCCCCTGCAAAGCAAATGAAAGTCCAGAATCTCACTCCTCTCAACATATACAGAGTATGTACCATAGTAGTATGAAGCGAAGTGACCGTTCCTGAAAATCAGGCTTTGTGAGCTTCAAGCCAGAGGCTTAGCTCAGCTGCTCTCAGGCTTTTCCCTAGGAGCCACTCAGGTCAAGATAATTGAACGTTCAGGTTCCCCAACATCACACCACTTTGCATTTCCCTGTGTTTTCGGTATGCCCCATGACTGTCAGGTATAGGAAATGTTCTTGGGAAAAAGCAGGTATCTTTTCAGTTGGGAACCAATAGTTAATTCTTAAAGAGGGATTTGCTGGCATGAGAAGTCTATGCAATGGCTGTGTTCTAGCTACCTGTTGGAGGCAGTTTGTCTCTGAATGCCAGTTCCTGGGAACAAGTGGGGAGAAGACAGCTGTTGCACTCAGGTCCTGTTTTTGGGCTTCCCATAGGTACCTGGCTGACCATGATGAGAACAAGATGCTGGACTAGGTGGGGCATTAGCTTAATCTGGCAGGTCTCCTCTTATGTTCTTATGCATTCTTAAAAACCTTTACTCCTCATTGTGAAAATGCCAGAGTACGCATATAAGAGTCAGTGGTGGTGCGAGAGTTATTTCCAAAAGATGTGGTTATTACTTAAAAATAAAAAAATAGAGCCACACTTTTGACTTAGTTGTTATGTTGAAATTATAACTAATTCTGAGAACGAAAATGTAAGTAGTATCTAAATCAATAATAATAATAATAATAATAATAATTATTATTATTATTATTATATTTATTTGTACCCCGCTCGTCTGTTTTGGTTTCCCCAGCCACTCTGGGTGACTTCCAACAAAGATTAAAAAGTGGCAACTCAGGAGAGCCAAGGCACGTGTCTTGAAATCCCTTCTCTTTAATTTTGTGGGTACAAGCTACAGTTGCACAGTATGTTAATGGTTTGCTTTCTGGTGTAGGGACCCAAGTAGTGGCATGTCAGCTTGCGGTGGGACTTGGCATGGATGAATTCTGTCAGTTTTTATTTCTGTCCGTCTCTCATTTTTCCAAACATAGATTCAGTTTGCCACATTCCCATATTAGTTCGCAATTTATTTATTCATTTAAAAAAGAATTTCCTCATGGAAATTCTCCAGCATTTTGCCCAATTATACCTATTTCTGTAAGCCATTTTGCATAAAACAATGCTTTTTTAATGTATGTTATTCCACCTATATATACATTTTGAAATGCACACTTTCTTGTTGCGAATGCATTTTTGGTACACATTTTTGTGTTGGAGAACTGCATTGCAAAATTTGGAGAATTTCAAAGAATAGTTCCATTTTTGTTTCTGGGAGTGCAGGTTAGGTAGGTTGTGTTAAAATGAGAACGGAAGAAGATCACATTTCTTTCCATCTCTAGGGAGGGACTGGAGAGGGACAACAGCTTAGCAGCAAAAGGTCCCAGTAAAAAAAAAAGATCAAGTAGCAGGTAGAATTCAATATTTGCAAATCCCTATAGAAAATGATCTGATCGCACCTTTCGTGTGGAATGGAATTTCCCTGATCTATTCTTCAAATGTTGTAGCACAGTTCATGCCATATGCATGGATACAGAATTAACTCCCACTGACTTCTGCAAGACTTACTTGCAAGTCGCCATGTATAAGATTGCAGCCTAAATGTATCAAAATATATTATTTAAATGCATAGGTTTTTTTTGAGGAGATAAATATTTTTAAATGTAGTATGCATTTAAATATATCTATGTATACTGAGGAAAAATCCATATTTTTGGGGGAAATTCTTTTTAAATTCCCCCCTCCAAAAATAATAATAATGCAGAAGTGGAATAGAAGAGGATTATGAATAAAAATATGCAAAAGCAATAGGGACCAGAAATAGATAGCTTAATCCATTCCTAGCTGCCAGTAAACAGCTTGGGTTAGGACTAGGTGGACAGTACATAGGCCTCTTTCATTCTGTGCATGCTTAGAGGCATTATTTCACAAAGTCTGGGGCTTAGGCTCAGTGCTGAAAATGGATTCTGGCTGTGAGCACTTGTGCAATTTAAGTACAGGCCAAGCACCATCTCTAGACCTTTCCCCCTTTTGCCAGAATATAAAATTGTCACAAGTTTGACTGTGAACTGCTGTGTGTGCAGGCTTTCAACCAGATAACTGAATGGGTGGTGAGAGAATTTAACAAAAGAACATTAATGTTCATGCATGGTTGGAAATCTCTCCATGCTGCCTTGAGAAGGTGACACCCTTCAGTTCATGAAGAGAAACACTTGTTGCTGTTTGAATCCAAAGAGAAGAGTTGGGCGTTTGAAGCTGAAGTGTGCTGGACTGGAGAAAGCCCAGGACCTTGATGGTCTCCATATGATCGTTTTCTGGGAATCTGATGCAGAACAAGTATTTTTATAGGACCCTTTCTGCTTCTATAAACACTTTTTTCCCCTTTTCTTTTTCAAATTACTTCTCATACAAAATGGTTGTGGTTAAAGGATGAGCTGTGGGTTGACAAGGCAAAGCTCAATAATTTACACCGCTGCTCTTAATTCCAGATGTGTTGTAGTTATTTAACGGTGAAGGAAAGTATTTGCACAAACTCAGAAGTTGGTCTAATCCCTTCACGTACTCTAGGGTTGAATCTTTAAATATATGAAGAACAGAGCTGCACCCTGTTGAGCTCTGGCTAAGATCAATTGAGAAGCCAGCTCTCCATGCGACACTTCTCATTTGCAGGTTTCGTTTCTTAAAAAGAACCATTTCAAGTCCACTTCCACATACCCTTACGTTATAATTTTGATATGCTTTTTTTCTCCTCCTGTCCTCAGTATCGTCTGGAGACTTTCACTGAAATGAGAGACACCCACATGGCCAGTGAGCTTTATGATGGTGAGTCACACATGAAAAAGAAGATAGCCAGGCCAGGCTTTCTACTCTCCGAGCGATTACCACCTCATATCTTTCCAGCTACCAAACAGGGCCAGATTGAGTTTTCTTCTCTCAGAGAGATTGGCACCTCATACTTTTCCAGCTTCCAAATTAAGCTTCCTTCTCTGATAGTTTGTTACTGTGTACCTTTCCAGCTACCAAATAAAGAGGGGCATCGTGATTAGCATATGGAAGTTTCTGGAAAGACCTGTGCTCAAATTTCCCTCAGCAATGTAGGTGAATTGGGTGAACCTGGGCCCATTGTTCTTTCTTTTGTCCTAATTTGAAGGTCGTTTTATATTTTGTGCCCTGAGCTCCTAGAGGGAAGTCTGCAATTAAGTAAAGCTAACATAATTACTACACATCTTCCGATTTAGAAAGCAGGTTGCTCTTTTCTTTCTATTTCCAGCAGAAGTTGTGAGGTTGTGGGCAGCTGCTGACAGGAGCCATATTTCCTCTTATACAACCAGTTAGAATGAAATTAGCTTACTTTGAGCTCAGGGTGTGAAGGATTTAGACATCCTTCCTTTCAGGAAAACAAAGACTGCTCATATTCCTCTTTGGAGAGGAGCAAATTATTTAATGCAGCAGAAGAATAATTAACATTGTACTATCTCACGGTATTCAGAGGAGACTGAAAAGTACAGGCTCCTTAGTTCCCATGGTGATTCTTGAACTCTTCATAGGTTTTCCACAGAACGGGACTTCCGATTCAGCCATTTTCTGCTCTCTAAAGACAGAGAAGGAAACGGTACCCAACTGTGTAGTCCAAAGGCCTCCCATACTTCTCAAAATATTTATTTAATTATTTGGTTATAATTTTAATTTTAATCCTGCTTTTCTACACATAGGCAGTGTGTTGTTACAACAATGACAATAAGGATATGATAAAAACACCAAAAATTGTAAAAAAAAAAAATTAAAGCTGATAAAAATAGCTGATAAAACCAATCAAGTGTGAAAGCAGTCAACACTAAACATCAAATGCATAATAAAAAGAGCATTTAAAAATAATAATCGTATTGGGACAAGAGAATATGGACTTTTGGGTTACCTTTTCATACAGCTCTATTATTTAGAGCTGTTGACTCAAATACCTGAAGGCAACTCAGTCCCTTCGCTACATTCCTCTGCCTTAATTTCCTCAGAGAAGGAAGTTCCTCAGTGGCAATGAGAGAGAGAGTGCCTTTTTGTGGTAGTACCACGCTCCCCATAGGAGTACCACTGGTGTCAATATTGCAATCCTTCAGGTGCCAGATTAAAATCTATGCTTTTTAAAGTTTTGCATTGGTGGTTATTAGTCTGCTCTGCTATTGCTGTTGCGTGTGTAGGTCCCCAGGCCACCCCTCAAATAATTTCACACATCACACGTAATTTTAGTTTTGGTTTTTGGGCACTATTTTGGCCACAACTTTATTAAAATACAAAATCAGTGAGTGGTTGTTTAGACATTGGTTATGACTATCTGTCCCCCTGCCTGGAACAGAACTGACATACCGAGGTCCGATCGGAAGCCAGTAGAAGGGAAAGTCAAAGTTGGGGATCATTTGAGCTGAGCGTCGGACCCACGCCGCTCACCCCAGCAGCTCCCCAATGCTTCCCGGCCCTGGTCCCATGACAGGGATTGGACGAAATCGTGGCAAGCCCCAGGATTCCTTTAACGGAATTCCCTTCAGCGCAATAGGAGGGGCAGGCACAGCCTATCGTGACCCCTCCACCACCAGATTTTTATAACCAATGCCTAACTGCAACCTTACAAGTTGTGACGAATTGCTAAGTAGTAGGCAAAAACCAAATGGCACAGCCAATCAGCCAAATGGCAAAATTCCTACTAGGCCCCTGCACCAAGGCAGGCGACCCCATGACAGGCAAAGTAAGGTCAACCAGAGAAGAGGGCGGGCGGGTGATCCGATGCACTCTGCAAAAGAGAAAGAGAAACCAGAGTGCCCCAATATTTAAAGACTATAGTCCCACCCACCCAATTTGCAACATACAATTTGCCCCAGCAACCCGGTTATCCAATCAAAGCACCAGGCAACAACCATTAACCTGCCTGGCAACATAGGGCTGGCCGGCAGCCCACACCGCAACACGCACTCTCATTTAATTGGAGAACGCGCTTTGCCATAAGATGTTTATATTGTATTTGCACTGTCTTGTTTTGTTTTATGCCTCTGTATACCATTCTGATATCTGTATAGATCAGCCTTCCCCTTTTTGTTGCCCTCCAGATATTTTGGATTCCAACTCTCATCATCCCTTACCATTGGCTGTGCTAACTGGGGTTGATAGGAACTGGAGTCCAACAAGATCTGAAGGGTACAAGGTTGGGAGACGTTAGTATACATGAAAAATGGGTTTAAAGGTGTTGTTCAGCCATGACATCTATCGGCCCTAGCAAGCTTTGACAGTGGTCAAGGATGATTTGCATTGTAGTTCATCAATAACTGGAGGGCACCATGTTGGTTTCTCCTGCTCTAGGGCCTCTTAAGAGAGAAAACAATAATATTTACTTGTCCTACTATATTGCTCTGCTGAAAAACATTTAACCAGCACCGATGATTCAGGGAAAGCTGCTGTTATGGTTGAAGAATCCCAGAATATCTACCCACTTTGAGACAAACATTAGTAATGGCAGGTCATTTGTCAACCTGTCATTTTACCATTGAAGGTGGGGTACATCATTCTTACTAATTTTATGGTGGCTTCTGTTCTTCCAGGTGGATTTGTAGACTCCTTTGCTGTTGGAATACCACCTCTCCCATGGGATATAACAGTGGATGAACCTCCTTTGTTTACGGACTGTGAAATGCATATTCCAGTGCCCCATTCGTACTCAGTGGAGGTAAGAAAACAACAAGCCATTGGCTGCTCTACACAGGAGTTCAGTGGAGTTTACAATGTAACCCTGTGCATGTTTCCTCCGAAGTAAGACCCACCGTGTTCAATAGGGCTTATTTCTGTGAGTCTCCCTAAAAGGCAGGCAGCAAGTAGAACAAGATGGAGAAGAATGCATGGTATTACAGCCTTGTTGACATTTTCCACCAGGGGAGACCTGAGGCGTTTCTGCTCTGGAGGTGAAATGTCCTGCTGCCGTCCTCTGTGATGTGAGGGTGCAAATTCTGTAAGGCCTTTTCCCTGACTGCGTGTAGAGTCTCCCCTGCTGGGCAGGGGGCATCCTTTTCAGATCCTGACTCCCACCCAAGCAGTGGTGCTTCCCATCAGCTCCTCCCTTCAGGAGACAGGAGGGGAGGTGTTCCACAGAGCTTTCCCACTGGTCTCTCTCTGTCCCTAGAGGCTGGGGAAACCAGCGGTGAAGCTGAGCAGTGGAGCAGTCCCCCTTGTGGGGTGACGCCTGAGGTGGCTGCCTCACCCTGCCTCATGGGCAGGCCGGCTCTGCTTTCTGCCTTGCTGGTTCTTCAAGACTAAAGCCATGTATGCAATCAGTAGTTGAACTGAAGTCAGGTTTCCTGATCTATTCACCATGAACTGATGGGTCAGGGCCCACTACTGGGTCAGAACTTACTGAAATTGCAGCAGCACCGTAGAAAATAGATCATAAAAAGTAAAATAAAATAGAATTAAGGAATTCAAAGTGCTTTTGGCTTAACTTAGCACAAGTTGCACCCCTTCTGAAACCAGTTACTTTAAATACTCTGAAACAAACAGCGTCCCCCAGCCTGGTATTAATTGCTTCTTCCCGCAGTTTATGATCTTGGCAGAGAGCATTGTTTTTACTGCGAGATAATATATTAGTGGAGAAAGTTGTTGGTGTTGTTTTTTTTTAACGCATGGGGATTTGGCAGGGAGTATTTTCCCCCCTTTGGTTTATGTAGTCTGGTGTGTGTATTTCATTTCAAATGGGCAAGTTGCCATGAAAAACTGATTTGTATCCACCCAGAAGAACAAAGCATGGATATTTTTTTACATAGGCTGTGTGGTTTCTTTTAAAGCGGGCACAAAAACAAAAAACAAAACTATTTAGGTGGTCTCTCCATGCTAAAATCCAATATTCTATGTACATCCTCTAAGTGAGCTGTAAGTCCAACTGATGTCAATGTATCTTAAGTTGGTGCTGAAGTGCAAATCTACCATTTAATTTCAACGGAAAGTAAATGAGTGCTCAATAACATTATGTGAATGACACCTTATGCCTCACTTCAATAGGTTTCTCCATGCTGTAGAAACTGGAAATATCTGAGCACTTGATTCAGTCTGAACCATGTCCTGCCACTCTCATTGTTCCTAACAATTGCTTTTATTATAGCATTGCTGGTCCATGTCATTTCTTTTAATGTGGAAAGTGGAAACCAAAGGTTGATATCAAGAAACAAAAGTGACAGATTTAAGTGAGAACCGACTACTGCAACCTGCTTTGGGGGTTCTCCCCCTTTTATTACACCTTTAAATAAAGCCACCTATAGGATGTCTTGCTAAAACGAGATCATAACATTGAACAAGTTGACTGTAGTTTAGGGATTTCTATCATAAAAAGAGAAAAGATTTTGGGTTGATTCAAGCTTAGAATTTTTCATAGATATTAGAATATATATATGGTTATAGAGGGAGACTACTCCACACTTCCGCATTGCAGATGTTTCGTTTTGCCGTTTTGTTTTACTTACGCACTTGTTTTTCATCCTGTTTTACTTATGCACTTGTTTTTCATCCTGTGTTTTATTCTGTGAATATGATCCGCTGAGATCATATGATGAAGGGCAGCTTAAATGAATGAATGAATAAGTTTCCCAAATCATTTTCAGTTATACTTCATTCCTTGCTTTGATTTCAGGACTGTCCAAACTGCAAAAGACGTGGTGAAACTATGTGTCAGCCTTGTAAAGGAACTGGCAAGGTATTGTATGATGGAAACATTGCCAAATTTCTTTTCTGAAATTTCTGGGGTTTTTTTGCAATTGATATTTACTTTCGATTCAAAACGTAAAAGAACTGTTTTTTATTTAAATTATATGAATAATGTGTTTGCTGGAAACCACAGGAAATGAGAGTTTTCTCATGCTCTTGTCCTGCTTTGGGTTTCCCAAAAGCATCTGGTTTTCCACTCTCAGAACAGGATACTAAGCCACTGGTCTGATACAGTAGGCTCTTCTTATGCAACATGCCCAGCTTGGAGAGAGTGGAACCCTGAACAGGAGCACTCACTGGAGGATACACTGCAACATTTGGTTGCAGGCACACTTGTTGCATTCTGTTTGTAGGTAAAATCACAACCTACTTAATGTGGCAAATGTGCACTCAACTCTCCAAATGGAAAGAGCAAGTTTCAAAGATATACACACATGCATGCCTGATTATTTTGTTTTGTCCTTTAATGTAGAAAAAGTGTTCGGCTTGTGGTGGGACTGGTTCACAGGAGGACAGCAATATCTGCTCGTGGTGCGCAGGTTCAGGAAAGAATCGGTAAGTGCATAAGTGGTAAGTTACACCACTTGTATCAGGGATGTGTGTGGCGCTGTGGGTTAAACCACAAAGCCTAGGGCTTGCTGATCAGAAGGTCGGCGGTTCGAATCCCCTTGACGGGGTGAGCTCCCGTTGCTTGGTCCCTGCTCCTGCCAACTTAGCAGTTCAAAAGCACATCCAAGTGCAAGTAGATAAATAGGTACCGCTCCAGCGGGAAGGTAAACAGTGTTTCGGTGTGCTGCTCTGGTCCGCCAGAAGCGGCTTAGTCATGCTGGCCACATGACCCGGAAGCTGTACGCCAGCTCCCTTGGCCAATAAAGCAAGATGAGCGCCGCAACCGCAGTCGGTCACGACTGGACCTAATGGTCAGGGGTCCCTTTACCTTTACCTTTACACCACTTGTAGTAAGTTGCATGGCAGGAGATTATTGAGTTGGCTCACCCCCCCCCTTATTTCAGCAAGGGGAATTTGTGATCAATTGTGATTTTTTTTGGGGGGGGGACATACAGTGTTCTCAGCACTCTCTGCCTCATTCACCTCCCCTGTGATCATCCATCTGTATCAACGTGCCCATTGGTCCATAGTAACGATGAAATTGTTAAAAAATATTCAACTTAGAAAAATCTAGCCATATGCAGAGTAAAGAATTATATTGCTTCTAAATGTTAAGTATGTGCACATTTCCTATTTTCCCATTTTTGTGAGTGTCTGTTTTCCCACCTTCCTCTCCCGCAGTTGCTTCAATTGCCGTGGCAATGGCTGGCTGAAGTGTTACCGTTGCAATGGGAGCGGTGTCTTGCTATTTCATACCGAACTTACGATAACATGGTAAGTTGAAAAGCCAAAGGAAGAAGAGTTCCATGAAGGTGTGCTCTTGCTACAACCCTTGAACATTTTCGAGTGATTCCTTGGCATGGTATTAGCAGAGATCATCGCCAAGTACTAGGAATCTTTACAGCGGCTTTATATGGAATCTGGACATTACTCTATCTAGTTCAGTATTGTCTGCTTTGACTATCAGTGGCTCTCCAGGGTTTCAAACACAGGTCTCTCCTTGAGATGCCAGGGATTGACCCTGATGCCTTCTGCATGCAAGGCAGCTGCACTACCACATCCCTACTTTCTGCAGCTTTTGCTATGTTAAGCTTTATGCTAGGAATGCCCAGTGTACATCAACAGAGAACATCAATTGACACTTCTTTCCTTTTTTCACCATGCAGACTGCTGGACTTGAAATCCAAGAAAGTTACTAGACTGTTGTTATTTTTTTATTAGCATCTTACTAGGATTTTTAAAATTGCCAAGTGGGCTTGCATAGAAGGGACGGGTCTCTCCATCGCTTGCCCACCAGCCCACTTGGTTTCCCCGCTGGTCTTCCTCTACAGCCAGCAGGGAAGGAAAGTGGACTGGTAGATGAGGAACAGGGAACTCCATCCATCTTCTGACAGACCCACAATATTTCCTTGTTGGCCATGGAGCAAGATGCTTCACTTTATCCTAAGCCAGCGTTAAAACCAAGTGGGCTGGATGATCCGTCCCTACTTCAGCTCACTCACCTGCAGGCCCTGTCAGAATTCCAGAGAGGTCCAGGCCACTTTCAGGGCCCCAAACCATAATAAAAACACTAGTTTTTATTGTGGGTCCCCCCCCCAATAATCAGCTGAGCTAAGAGGACATGTTTATCAATGGTTTAATCTTGTGCTGTGAGAACCTCTCTCCCCCTCTCTCTAACATATATATATTACATATAAATATATATACAGTGGTGCCTCGCAAGACGAAAAGAATTCGTTCCGCGATTCTCTTCGTCTAGCGGTTTTTTCGTCTTGCGAAGCAACCCCATTGGTGGCTAAGCGGATTAGCGCTATTAGCGATTTAGCGCTATTAGCGGCTTAGCGGGCTTAGCGGCTAAGCTGTTAAAAGGCTATTAACGGCTTAGCGGCTTTGGAAAAGGGGGGGGAAGCGGGGGGGGGGAAATGGTGAGACTCGCAAGACGTTTTCGTCTTGCGAAGCAAGCCCATAGGGAAATTCGTCTTGCGAAGCGCCTCTGCGACGGAAAACCCTTTCGTCTTGCGGGTTTTTCATCTTGCGAGGCATTCGTCTTGCGGGGCACCACTGTATATGTAAAAATGTAAATATATGTAAAAACAGAAATTATAATTTTATAATTGATTTTATTAAACTCTAAAAATGACAAAATCTACATCAGTTAACAATTTTGTGTCTTTTTCCAAATCACAATTCATATTTGCAGCTCTGAGCTGAGTGTGCCACATTATGGTCTGAGGCTCATAAAAAAAACAACTGTGCATCAAATGCCAAAAAATATCGTTGCCAGAATTTTTGAGCTCCCCCCCCACCCCCGGCTCGGATGTCTGGGAATTTCTGGACGTATGGCAGCCCTACCAAAAGATTAACTAGTGTATAAATCTGAGGCTCTCTTTGTGTTTAAGGCCCAGGGGAAATGGCCCTCATGCTACCATCTTCTGATTGGCCCTGCTCACTTGCATCTAATTTCTTGTCTAGAGACCAGACAAATAGTTAAATACGAGGCTATTCTAGTGGTCCATGAATTTTTCCCATAGCAATGCTAGTAGAGCCAACAAAAAAACCTCCAAATAACCGAGCAACCAAGTCACACACAGACCAGTCTCTCCCCCCCCTCCACTTTCATCTCACCTCATCATAAATCACTGGAGCCAAAATTCCTTGCTAAGCAAAACACATTTTCTGAGTCATCCAAAAGCAATGTGGGAAATTGTGGTATCAGGATACAAGCAAAGCCTTCATTCAGATTGCAGTTATACACAATTACCTAGAACTAAGTTTCACTGAAATCAATCAGTGGGAAGACATGCAGGTTTGCTGTATTAATTTATCTTTTCAGTGCTTTCTAGGAGCTGGATGTTGTGAGGTCAGCACTGTTACGCTTTGCCCAGCCTACTTTGTCCTTGAACGTGTGCCTGAAAAAGAAAGCAAATGTGTCTTCTTCATTTCTGTTTTCTCAACAGGAAGAACAATGTTTTAGAACATGTAGCAGACAAGAATTCTGGCTTCCCAGTTCACCATTTGCAAGAAGTGACTGGGAAAGAAATTGTTAGTGATGAAGGTTCCTTGGTAAGCCACATTCAACCAAATAGCCTGGGGACATGGGTGCTGTTTTTCTTTTGTGGGGTGTGGATATACTCGGGATGGGGGACAAATTCAATTCAGTTCACATTTAAACTTACCTAATTCACACTTTCTGAAATAATCTGTGAACCAAAACACAGCCCTCCTTCAAAACCTTCACTTCTCTAAATGTTGCAGTGCAGTTCTATAGCCACATAATGGATGTGCTATAGTGTATATACTAAACATAGGGATGTGGGTGGCACTGTGGTCTAAACTACAGAGCTTCTTGGGCTAGTTGATCGGAAGCTTGGCAGTTGGAATCCCTGAGACGTTCGAAAGCGTGCCAGTGCAAGTAGATAAATAGCTACCGCTGCGACGGGAAGGTAAACTGCGTTTCTGTGGGCTCTGGCACTCGTCCTCCATGCGCCAGTAGCGGTTTAGTCATGCTGGCCACATGACCCGGAAAACTGTCTGTGGACAAACGCCAGCTCCCTCAGCCTGAAAGCGAGATGAGTGCCGCAACTCCATAGTCGCCTTTGACTGGACTTGACCATCCTTTACCTTTTTACCATACCAAACATAATGCATAAACATTTTTTGAAAGTTAGGTCATTCAGGTTATGGAAACACTTTAAATAGGAGCTTAAATACAAGCTCCAGGTAAGCAGTTAAATGTGTGTTTATCAAAACTATAAGGTGAGAAGGATTTGTTTTTTTAATAGGAAATATTGATGGGAATTTCCTATGTCAATAATTTTTTTTTGTTATCCCATGCAAAGGAAGAGTATTTGGGTTGGTCTTGGTGTTTATATGCCCTATACTCAGGCGTTTTTTCCCCAGCCAGAACTTGCCAGAACTCGGTTCCAGCACCTCTCGCATGGATTCTGGCACCTCTCATGTGGGTGCCATTGCCATTCTAAAAGAACAAATGAAGATGGTTCATGGCCATCTCAGTTCTACTATATGCAGATGATGTGGTACTCCTATTCCAAACAAAAGTGGGCCTTAAAAGATTGGTAAGGGCAATCACAGGATACTGCCAGAAAACAACTGACTGTGAATTTTAGTGCTATATTGAAAGGGAATTTTCAATGTGCGTTTTCCTTGGCTCACAATGGCAGGAGAAGCAGCACCTGTTAAATTTACCACTTATACAGAAGTATTTGGTGCGGCAAAACCCTGTCTTCTATCAGTGGTGGATTTGGGTACGATGGTTCCCTGTACAACACCAAAATTTGTCCCCCTCCATCCTTGCACTGCCTTCCCAAAGGCAGGGAAGCAAGTCACTGGGCTTTGAGAAGGAAGCACGAGGGGTTGGCAGGGTCCTAGAGCCCTCCTACCTCCTTCCCAAAGCTGGGAAAGCACTAACTATGCTTTGGGAAGGCGACAGGAAGATTCTAGGACTCTATCAGAGCCCAACACCACCTTCCCAAAGCCAAGTGACTTGGGCTTTCAGACGGTGTCCCCTCAGCTCAGCACCCAGTGTGTGTGTACTGCTAGCACAGCTCTAAATCCGCCCTGCTTCTATACTGTATTCCATGCGGACAAGCAAGGAGCATTAAAGAGCCCAAGGACATTCTTGGGCCAATCATAAAAATTCAAGGAAGGTGCAAAGCAGTGTCGGTGAGGGGTGTGCCACTGGGAAGAGCCCCATGGGTCAGACAGAGAGGCCCTGAGGGCTGACATTTGACCCCTGGACCCGAGGTTCCCCATCTCTGTCCCAAAACAACAAAGCAACAATTTTTTGGTTGCTCTCAAGAGTTTAACAATGTTTTGCAAGTGTGAATATAGCAGTGTATTTTATTTCTTCTCTAGGTATTTCCCATAGTTGATTTCCCAGAGCCATTAGTTGAGGACTATTCCCGAGCATTCATTGCGCAACACAATATGCAGTTTACTTCAGAAGGATTGCACAGAGTCCTGAGGCAGGTAGGTGGAAAATGGAATCAATGGATACCTGTAATAAAGGATTAGGGTTTGTTTCTTGTCAGTCACTTGGCATAAGTTCTTCATATTCTTTTTCTTCTACTATGTCATTATTATTTATTAAATGTCTTACCCACCCTTCACCAGCAGGTCCCAGGGAGGGGATACAACAGTTTAAAAATCAGAATAAGAAATGGTTAAAACGAATTACAGTCGTGGAATAGAGTGGGTCTTGAAAACACATGTGTCATGTGTCAAAGGCCAGGGTGAAGAGGTGAATCTTCAGCATGCATCAGAAGCTATGCAATGAAGGTGCCAGATAATAATAATAATAATAATAATAATAATAATAATAATAATTTATTATTTATACCTCGCCCATCTGGCTGGGCTTCCCCAGCCACTCTGGGCGGCTTCCAAAAGAATATTAAAATACTATAATACATCAAACATTAAAAGCTTCCTGAAACAGGGCTGCCTTCAGATGTCTTCTAAAAGCCTAGTAGTTGTTGTTCTCTTTGTTCCACAGGGAAGGCGCCACTACCGAGAAGGCCCTCTACCTGGTTCCCTGTAACTTGGCTTCTCGCAGTGAGGGAACCACCAGAAGGCCCTCGGTGCTGGACCTCAGTGTCCGTGTAGAACGATGGGTGTGGAGACGCTCCTCACCTCTGTGAGGAGGGAATTCCACAACCTAGGAGATGCCACACAGAATGCCCTCTCCCAGGTCACACACCCTTACTGAACTTCTGAGGGAGAGATGTAACTTTAACTTAGAGAGGCAGACTCTCAACAATATTTTTGCTGGCTATACCAGGTCCCAATACTTTTTAGGAAAGTTAAAAGGGAAGTTGCATGCTGGTGAACTGTATGGTGACTGCAAATAGGGAACGTTGTTTGTTTTTCTGTTTTTATCCTCTGCCTTTGTAAAACAAAAAGGGGGAAATGTTGCAGCATTCGAGGAACTTCAGTAATAGTTGTAAGGTAGATATATGAAATTAGATATATTAAGAATAAGTTTAATTATGATAAAAGTGTGTATTGGCAATAAGTAATATGAAATCGAAATATGGAATAGCCGGGAGGTTGGGTCTTTAGTGTTAAGACCAATATATGCTATATTGTTTGCTAAGAAAATTATGTGTCTATTCCTGTGTGTAATTTGGAGTTTGTGTTTTTTTTTCTTTTTTCTTGTTGTATCAATAAAAAATCTTTTTAAAAGGGGGGGGGGGAGGAAGGGACCTGTGAGAACCAATAGGCAGATGTTCCAAAACAAAAGGAAATAGTTTTTCACATAATGCTTTTCTGAAATTCCTTCCTTGTGATGTATGTATCAATAAGGTCAAAATTGTCACGGCCCTGAACAGTTGCACAATAGGCTTGTCAGTGAATGTAATTTCATGTGAAGTCATATGAGTTTTAACGCATCACCACAAGCTGGGGGATGAACAATGGAGTCATTCAATAACTATTCCACAGCATACTAGAACTATGGGTATTACAGTGTTACACAAATGATGACCCTCCAAACTGAAAGGCAGGGCATAAAAGTTCTTCTAAAGAAACAGAGTTGAGCTCAGGTCTGGCAAAGACATTTTGCTGCCTGAAGCAAAGGACAAGATGGAACATCCTCCCTGTTTGATGTGTAGAAGCCAATTGTACTGGCAGCTGAATCTTACTACAAAACCAGAAATGGGATGACATCCTCCACAGCATTTGAAGTAGCCAGCTAATTTAGGTCGCTGAGAACAGTCCATGTGGCATACAAACTGTGGCTTCCAACACAGGGGAATGTCTGGTGTTCAGGGGTGCTTAGAAGGAGCAGCCAGGGGACTGCTACCACTGCTGCTCAGCATCTGCCACCTGAGGGAGTTTAATGGTAGGGCCGGCCCTGTTTGCTCTTTGGAGCAGGTGTTTCAGTAAATTCTATATCTCTTTTTTTCAGAAACAAACAGTTGAGTTGGTGCCACTCACAAAGGTTGACTATGAATGGAAAGAGAGAGTCTATTCCTTCTACATCTTTGGCAATGAGAATAAAGTATATACCAAAGACTATCCAGCAAAGTGCTGCTGCTCCATCATGTGACACGAGGACAGTTTTGGCGGCATTCAGCAACACAGCTGCTCCCTGTTATTTGTTCTTCACAGCAACTTGCAGATTTTTATTTTATTTTATTTGCTGAAGGACATTTTCTGTATGATATTTAGGGATTCAGCCATAGTTCAGCACAGTCAAAGTTGTTTGTGGGTGCTATTCCTGTACACCGGACATTTGTCTCTAATACATGACTCCATTGGCTGTGCTTTTCAATTAGGGAGATGAAGGAAACTATTTGTTCTAATGTACGAAAGAGGATTCAGTGCATTTGCTTTCTTGTGGTTGTGCATTAGGATGCCTCAAGCTAAGCATCCTGTAAACTTCTTGTGGAAGTATAAGCAGTTCAGAATGAAATATATTCCAGCACTGGGCATCATATTGCACGAATCTCTGCAGTGATTTGCATTCCTCCTCTTAATTAAGAAGGTCAGGTAAGTGAGGGATTGATGGACAGATTTTTCATTTGTCTCCTATACTAGAACAGATCCCCTCTCGCTGCCATTTCAGTATCTGATTGTACAAGTGCCACATTTAGCAAGGTCTATAGCAAGGTCAGAGAAGCTGTGGCCCACCAGGGATTGCTGGATTACAACTCCCACCATCCCTTACCATTGGCCATGCTTGCTTGGAAGGGGTCCAGGAGCTCCTCAAGAATCACAGATTCTCCATGCCGGATCTGAAGGATCATAACTGAAGCCACCATATAGCATGCTCTGATGTTATTGTAAACATAGAATTCAATGAGAAAATATTTTGAAAACTGAGTCTTAGCTGTGATCAAATGCCCCAGTACCTGGTGATCAACAACCTCTGTAAGTACCAGTATTAAGGCAACTAGCATCTACAGTGGTACCTCGGGTTACATTATGGAATTCTATCTGAAGAAATATCAGGATCACCCCAGAGAAGAATTAGTGTGAGTCTGCAGGATGAAACTTTTTTTTAATTTAAGAACACGTCTCAAGTGGTGTAATACATTTAAGCAACCCTTTGGATTTTGTTTCTGTTTTTAAATTAACTTACATCATTGCGTAGAAAATGATTAAGTACAAAACTGATCAGATTTGCTGGAATGCTATGCTATAGGGGAATAATGAGCGAGTCTCCTAATGGTGGGTTCCTCCCCTGTCCTAATACTTGCACAAAACAATGTGGTATAGCAGTCAGAATGCTGGACTTAGTCCAAGGAAACCCATGTTGAAATTTCCACTGAACCATGATACTCATTAGTTCACAATGGGTTAATTACTAAGAAAAAACCCCTCTATTATAGCTACATCTGCCAATTTTCTATATAGGTCCTGCTCTTATACATTTAAGGACCTTATGACATACAGACGTTAGTCAAGTGAAGCTACTCCCAGCATGATGTGAAACTAAGTGATGCAGGAAAGCCCTTGTCCACCTGGGACCAAAATATCCCAGAGTATCCATCACCTCCTTAACTTCCTGCTGCTCTGTGAACCAGCCAGAAAAGTCATTCCCTTGTCAGAGGCCTTTCTCCATGTCCTCTTGCCACCTGGGCGGGGGAGTTGAATAGAGAAAGCACCTTCTGTGCTGTGGCCCCCAGACCGTGGAAGAGCTTCCCTAGGGAGACATACCTAGAGCCATCCAGATTGTCTGTGAGTTAAATAACATGGCATAGAAAGCCCATTCAGGCCAGCCATTGATGCTTTTAGCTCCATATTGTCTCTTCCCTGACAGCCAGGATGTCAGACAGGAGTCTTTCGTAGCCCTGCCTGGAGACGCCAGGAACCAAACCTGGGACTTTTTGCATGCAAAGTGTGCACTCTACCACCTCTCTTACCATGTTTTTAACTGCTGCTATTTTAATAATTTCACGGTTTTGTCTTATTTGCAATTTTCATTTTAACTTTTGAGTTGCCTTTGAATAGTTTCTGTCAGAGGCCGTATATATATATATATTTGTAATAAATAACATAAATCAAAGTTCTGCCTGCTTAATTTCTTTGGGGATGATGTTATTGGCAAAGAAGCCAGACCAAAATAAAAATGTGTTTATTTAATTGTAGCTCACTGGGGTTTGATAATAAATTCCAGTGCCGATGAAATGCTTCAGAGTCCTGTCCTTGCCCTAGGACCACTTAAGCCTGTCTTAAACAAATAAAGGTCCCTAGTCAGTTCTGCAGCATTGTTGTGTCCTGTCACAGTGGTACTACACTGTGAATAAGCATTCAGGGACAGGAATGGAGCTGGATTACAAATAACCTGTGTAAACTACATAGGACTCCACAGCTGCTTTTCCAGCAGAGGTTGACAGGGAGAAATGGATGCAGAAGTGGGAAGTTCCATTAGGAGGGACAGAATGATATTGTAGCTGTGGTAATGCAAATAATTGGCTGTACTATGACTCTACTATGAGTAAATAAACTCAGGCTGGTATACTGGTATACACGCAAGCGCACGCACACACCCATAGTCATAAGAGGTAAACATGCTGAAGTTGAAACCAAGATCCTATGCCAGATGCCAAGTTCCACGAGGAATTTTGCTTGAGCAAAATTACAGAAAACGAACAGCTCCTTGGGGCATTGTACTGACGTCACTGAGCAGACCAAGCCTTTCATATGAGAGTTTAGAACAATAGGAAGTTTCTTAACAAGATTTTGGGTCGCTGGAACTGCTCCCACATAAGATAAGTAGTTAAAGTAGTAGACAGGTATAATGGATGACTGCCAATGTTAAAGGTCAGTAGATCACAAACAATGATATTCTCTCAAGACATTGTAGTTGGCATTGGATTGTGTAACAGGCAGGACACAGTTCTGAATGGAAGTAATGGACATAAACAACATCTACCAACTGGAATGATGATATTATTATTATTATTCCTTGTTAAATTTGCTTACTGCCAAAGATTACAGGGTGGCTCACAACATAAAAATACAAAATGAGGACACAAAAGACATTATAAATACAGTTGGGGCATCATTTTACCTGAACCTCATGACTTGAAAACTTTAGACATGTAGTCCATATATCAAAGCAACGTGAACAAACAACAATGATGTATACCAGACCATTTACTGGTACCAAGCCTGGTATTTGCCACTGTTATCTCAGTTCACTCCAGAAGGAAATATTGCAACACTGTCTTGATAAAGCTCTCAATCCAATGTTTCCAAGACGCAGGGCTCTTTCCCTAGCTATTTTTATTTTTTGCTGTATTATTTTATTGTGCAACTGTAGTGTTTTCCTTTGCAAGTATTAAATATCGTAATATGTTGTTCCCCCTCGGGATCTGATAAATTGATAACAATGTTATCAGAGTATTACAGGCTGTTTTGTATATGGCATTATTAGCATGCATTTAAGGATGTGAGCATAACTGGGTAGTCAGGATTTGAAAGGACGGTGCAACTGAGATGATAGGCATTAGTACTAGAAAGCTGTATGAAGAAGATAACAATTTGGCATAAGAATCTAGGGAGAACCTGCAGGATGAGACCAAGGGCCCATCTAATCTGGCACCCTGTTCTCACAGTGGCCAACCAGATGTTTGGGGAAAGCCTGCAAGCAGGACACAAGCACAACAGACTCCCCTCCTGGAGTTTGCAACAACTGGTACAGTGGAACCTCAGTTGTCAAACATAATCCGTTCCGGAAGACCGTTCAACTTCCAAAACCTTCGACAACCGAGGTGCTATGGGTGGTTGGCAATCCCAATGGAGAAAATTGAGAAACACGCCTCAGAAGCTGTTTGACTTCCGAGGTGCGTTCAGAAATGGAAGCAATTAATTCGTCCGGTTTCTGAGATGCTTGAAAACCAAAGTTCAACTGTACTCAGAAGCATACTGCCTTCAGCAGTGGAAGCAGAATGGTTAGTAGCTCTTCAAGGCCTTATCCTCCATGAATTTGTCTAAACCTCTTTTAAGGTCACCCAACATGGTGGCCATCGTTACCTCTTGCAGAAGCAAATTCCGTGTGCTGTGTGCAAAACTGGTTTCTTTTTGTCAGGTTCCACTCTGTCCAACAGACAGACTCAAATTGCCCGCACCTGAGCCCTTACAACATTTCTGCACAACCTGCTCAAAGCAGCACACCCAGGTGGTGACTTTTCGTTGCAACGGCAAGCATGTGGAGAATATATAACCAGAGTGCCAAATCTTTTTAATGCATAGCTCCAAAGTGTGCTAATTTTATACAATTTTCTACAACAGATGTTAATCACAGTTCTGTAGGGGAAAATTTATGGGGGGGGGGGGAGATTTTCATGACTCGTATCTGATAAACACCAAGATGAATTGTAGTGTCAAATCACTCCCCTGTGAGCACTATATTAGTCATGCATATTAATAGTGATGAATAGTTTAGGCTACGCTGCTGCAAAGTGCTACTGCAACGAGCACCAGATGCTGTTATTTACTGAAATGCTCTGCGTGCGCTGGAGGCTGTTGTGATTTTTCTGGTGCAATTTCAGCATGAGAAATTGCATCTCTTTTTGCCAGTTTAAATTTACTGCCATTAGCAAGCCAGTTTAGATTCCTAATTTCCCCTCCTTTTTATATCTTCTTGGGTGGTGGTCGTGTTTAATTTATCGACTCCTGCACATAATTTTTTGGTTTCTCATATCTTATCAGAATAAGCCTGCCTTAATGAAGAGACGAAGATCCCAAACTGAAACCAAATGTTGCTTGAGCGCCCACAAGTATAACTGGAACATACCAGGCAGGCAACACTTTTTCTTGGACTGATTCATGCAGATTTACAATATCACTTACGGTACTTTGTCCACATTTATGCCTACATGGGAATGGGTGTAGAAACTGAACTGTAAACCAGGCTGTACATCAGGGATGGGGAATATTTTCTGGCCACAAGGCCAGATCCTTATCTCTTAACCCTTGGTGGGCCAAAGCTTTGTCGATGGGCAGGTGTTTTCTCCTACAGTATTCCCCCTCTGCTCCTTGGTGCTTTCAGGTTTCATGTTGATATTCCTTGGGACCCAACTGCTGCCAGTCTCCTTTCCCTTTGCCGCTTCCTTCAACTTGGCCTTCTGGATTGATTCTCCCACACATTGCCTTGGGTAGTCTTCTCCAAGAATGCTCTGTGTTTGACCTATCTACTGTGGAATCTGAGCACCATCTCACCTGCTTCAGTTTAGCACACATTTAAGAAGCGAGAAGACTTCCAGTATTGTTTGTCTATGTTCACTATGCTCTGACCACAAACTTCGTAATTAGCCTGTTAGTGCCAAAATGGGGAAGATCATGCTCCACTCTGCCTCGTTTGCTTGGTCAAAAGATTTACTTCAGCAGAGCTTCCAGGGTGCTTTCCAGAAACACAAACAATTTTGACAAACTTTGGCTGACATCAACAACTGCTGGGCCTAGTTCTTGTCATCTCATCTCACAAAGGGACAGGGCTGGAAAAGAACATAAAATGATCAAGAGACTTGAGTACACTATAAAGAGCAGAAACACACATCTGAGAACTGTTTATGTTAGGAAAATAAGAACATAAAAAGATCCCTGCTGGGTTAGACCAAAGACCCATCTAGTCCAGCTTCCTGTTCTCACAATGGCCAACCTGATGCCTGTGGGGAATGTGCAAGCAGACCCTGAGCACAACAGCACTCAGAAGGCTACTGCCTCTGATAATGGAAGCTGAACATAGCCCTCAGGATTAGTAGGCACAGATAGCCGTATCTTCCATGAGTTTGTCTCATCCTCTTTTAAAGCCAGCCAGCTTCATTGAAAGTCATAGAATCATAGAGTTGGAATAGACCACAAGGGCCATCGAGTCCAACCCCCTGCCAAGCAGGAAACACCATCAGAGCACTCCTGATATATGGTTGTCAAGCCTCTGCTTAAAGACCTCCAAAGAAGGAGACTTCACCACACTCCTTGGCAGCAAATTCCACTGTCGAACAGCTCTTCTGTCAGGAAGTTCTTCCTAATGTTTAGGTGGAATCTTCTTTCTTGTAGTTTGGATCCATTGCTCCGTGTCCGCTTCTCTGGAGCAGCAGAAAACAACCTTTCTCCCTCCTCTATATGACATCCTTTTATATATTTGAACATGGCTATCATTATCACCCCTTAACCTCCTCTTCTCCAGGCTAAACATGCCCAGCTCCCTTAGCCGTTCCTCATAAGGCATCGTTTCCAGGCCTTTGACCATTTTGGTTGCCCTCCTCTGGACACGTTCCAGTTTGTCAGTGTCCTTCTTGAACTGTGGTGCCCAGAACTGGACACAGTACTCCAGGTGAGGTCTGACCAGAGCAGAATACAGTGGCACTATTACTTCCCTTGATCTAGAATACAGAATACAGTGGCACTATTACTTCCCTTGATCCCTAGTCCTCAAGTTCTAGTGTTAGGAGAGAGGTAAGAAAAACTTTTCTCTATCTACTTTCTCCATGCCATGCATAATTCTATAAATGGCTATCATGTCGCCTCTTATTTCCCTTTTCTGTAAACTAAAAAGTCACAAATGCTGCAACCTTTCCTCGCGGGGAGTTTGAGCCACTGATTGGCTATTGGGGAATTGGGAAAACATGGGTATGCTGCCCATATACAGTGGGGAGGAAAAACAGCACTGCTGACATGGGCTAATACACATCCGGATTTTCCTGGAAAATGTCTGGGAAATTCCAGACGTATGGTAACCCTGTTAGCCTCAGTGTTCCACTAGTTGAACTCAGAAGGGAGGAGACAGCTAAAATCCATTAACTCTGCCTGCCGTTGCCTCTAGCGCCACCTACTGTTGGGCTCCCAATGGGGACCAGCCACCACTGAGAACGGTATGCTCTTTGTGCATTTTTTAAAAGCAGCATCTACATAACACTGTTGGCATCAAAATACCAGCCCCCATTTCCCCCATTTAATCAGGATTTACCTTTTCTAACTTGAAGAACAAACCTGTTTCCAACAACCTGTTTGAGATAGTTGAGCAAGTAGATTTCAATGCTGAATCCCTGTCTGGAGGCAGCCTAAATCGCATTTAATGTTAAAGCACATTTATTATAATTATAGTATTGCTTTATTTGTAATTTTTTATGACAGCTTGAAAGTGCCTTTCTGGGTGGTTAAAAGTGCCTTTTTGAGTTTATTCCTCACCTGGGAAAATTCCTTTAAAGAAGCTCTAGGAGAGTGTCAGGCTCCCTTTGGCAGCAATGAATTAGACATTGATCTAAACTGTGACTACATGCACACCATGCATTTCATGCACATTCAAAGCACTGTTTCCCCCTCTCAAAGGATCATGGGAAGTGTAGTTTGTTAAGGGTGCTGGGAATTGTAGCCCTTTGGGGGTAAAGTACAGTTCGAAGGATTCTTTTGTGTGTGTGTGTGTGTGTGTGTTTTAATGTACAGTGTGTATGCATCCTGTGTTTTAGGCAGAATGAAAAAGAGTAAAGTACAAAGATGAATTTTTTTACCCACAATCACATCCAACAGACAGTGAAAGAATGTATTTTTAGAATCGGGGGCAGGTATCAATGGGAGCTCTTAACTTGTAGCCTGGACCTCATTTCAACAGAGATTGATGAATCACTTTACATACTTTTCTTCAGATTGTTTTATAAAGTGGGAGTGGTTCCAGGGGCGTGCATGGGATTTTTATCTGCTCCTAACACAGAATCCTCAGTAAACAATATATGTGGAAATTGTTGGAGTGGGACTCAGAGACTTCATCCTGCACCATGAGAATGGATCAGGGACAGAACGGAGGCGAAGACAGTAAGTAAACAAAGCCACGCTGTTCAGTATGCCTTGCAAAAGCAGGCAATTTGTCTGAAAGCATGCTTTGTTCTGGGAAGTCGTTCTTCGAAATCAGTGGCTGTACACGCTGTACATTTAAAGCTCCCCCCACAAGAATCTTGGGAATTGTAGTTTGCTAAGCATGCTGGGAACTGTAGCTCGGTTAGGGGTAAACTACAGGTCCCAGGGTTCTCTGGAGAATGGGGAAATTTGTTTTTGATGTATGGTGTGTTCATAGCCTTAGACTCGGCTTTGAAGTACAGTGTGTGGCTTGTGGTAAATAAATGCAAGTTTTCTAGTACAACCTGATGAAAAGTTGGCTAGTTGCAATTTCTTTCAGAAATGGGAGAGCAGGTAGAATAATATTGATATCTGGTTGAAAGCCTGGTGCATGGTTTCCCTGGATTTCTATTTGAGTTGGAGCCATTCATTGACTTTTCACTCTCCTTTGAATTCTGCCTTGCGGTTGCTTTGCACTTTCTGACAGCAAGAGTCCATAGAAGGCGATTTGGGCTTAATGGTCATTTCTCTAATCCATAAGGGAATGATGTGTAATTAACACAAGCATCATCTAAATCTACCTCCTGCTCTTGTTTTGCAGAAGGTCGTCAAATAGCCCTTTACAAGCAGGCTTAATAACCAAATCCCATTGCTAGTAAATGAATGCACTGGTTATTTTGATGCTGACATTAAATGGTTGTTTAAGAAAGAGTTGGTATTTCTGTCCAAGGGGATGTCATTCAGTAGCTTCATACATATAGTTAAGATCTAGTTGAGAACTTGGTTTAAAGGCTCCATTTTCCTCTGCTTCAGAGGCTCTGTCTGAGAAAGAAACAAAAGAAAGCAATTTCCTAGTGTACTTAAAGAAGTATAAATGCCTTATTCCATTCAATTTAAAACTGATCTCTCTTCTAAGGGGAATCTTGTTTCATCTTGTCCCTTTACACATCTATGAATACATAAAAGACCATGTTTACCGGTACTCTGCCCTGGTAAAAAGACTGCCTGTGTTTTATCTCCTGGGATATAGTACAGGTCCCCATTTTGTTAGTGTAAATTATTAAAGTAGCCAACCCACAGGTTTTAATCCCTCCCATGGGATTCCAGAATTTAAATCTCTGAGTGGGAACTGGCAGATTCGTCTTGATACCAGTGTCCAAGCATTATACAGTGGTACCTCGGGTTACATACGTTTCAGGTTACATACGCTTCAGGTTACAGACTCCACTAACCCAGAAATAGTGCTTCAGGTTAATAATTTTGCTTCAGGATGAGAACAGAAATCGGGCTCCGGCGGCACGACAGCAGCGGGAGGCCCCATTAGCTAAAGTGGTGCTTCAGGTTAAGAACAGTTTCAGGTTAAGAATGGACCTCCGGAACGAATTAAGTACTTAACCTGAGGTACCACTGTATATAGACAGAAAGTGCCAATTTCCTTCCTTCCTTCCTTCTTCTCCCTCTGAAACTATTCAGGTGAGGAGGGCTCTAAAAACCCCACTGTGGTATAGTGGTTCGTCTAGTGCTGGACTATGACTGGAGAGACCAAAGGTCAAATCCCAAACTCAGCCATGAAATTCCCTGGATGACATAGGGTCAGTCACTGTGGGTTGCACCCAACATTAGTCCTACACAGAGTAGGTCCACTGAAATAATTTGGGCCCATTAATATCAGTGGACCTACTCAACTAGCACTGGCTACAAGCCTATGTCTAACCTACCACACAGGGTAATTGCAAAAATACAATTAGGGAGCACCATCGTACGCCATCTTGAAATGCTTCGAGGGAAGGCGGGGATGAATGTAGTAAAGAAATAGCCAATTGCTGCTATTCTCTAATGAGCACAAACAGATCAATGGTGGTATTGAGCATTATATTAAACACCCTTAAATATACCAGTAACAAGAGAATAGACCTCTATTATGGTCTGTTAGGAAAATAACCTATTTTGAAAACCGGTGCCGGACAGACTGTTGCAGAGTAAATTAAGCACACAAGAGTGTCCCTGTTTTCATCTCTGAAATGTTGGAGAATATGAAAGTGGATGTGCAATTTGGGGCTGAGCTGTATTTGTCAAAGATGATCCATCATGGACACAGAAAAGCTATTGCAAGATTACAGTTATTACAGATCAAATCAGCAGTCCTAAGTGGGAAATGGGGAGGTGTTTTTCTTGCAGAAAAGGAATGGCTGGCGTGACCTGAATATTATAGATCGGGACAATTTATGTGATTTGCCTTTTTACATGCAGCACCTAGAAAATAAATGGCCTTAATCTTGTGTGGTAGTGCGCAAGATTGCAATGGCTACACATGCACGGTTATATTCCCTGGGCTGTTTCTTCTTCCAGAAACAAGCTGCTTTTTAAAAACTAGAAGAGTATAATTAATGGCAGCTCAGGGATTTGAGAAGGGTGGGGGAAATACTGTGAAGACGTGGCTCATGCATATTGCTGGATTATATGGGCAATGTGCTTGAAATACTTGCTTACAGGGGGATATGATTATGATTTTATTTATAACTAAAGTTCACCCCATTCCTTAAATGCAGGAAGATGTATGGGACAAACCCTGAAAATTTGACAAAGCATCAGAATAGATGATATTGGGGGCAATTTCTGAATTGCTCTGAGATGCCTTCCTCTACATCTTTGAGACTGCTCAAACACCCACATGCAGGCAATTCAGCAGACAGATTACCTTAGTTTCTGATTGTTCCTGGTAACTCACTGGTCCTGTTTTCTTAGAGTGTGCCATTTGGTAAGATGCTGAGAATGTCTTATAAACATTGTGAATGAGAAACAACATATTGAATATCTTAAGTTTTCAGCTCTTTTCCCTTTTCTCTAGAGGGGCATATGATGCTACCACACTGCTGCAGCTCTTCCATCCCATTCCCCCCTAATAGCCACTCATCCATGCAGCAAATGTTGCCAAACTGCTTGACTTGCAATTGTTTTAGAGTAAGTTCAACTGTATCCATACTGCTACAATTTTTAAAGACACAAACACCCAAACCGTTTCATATAAACAAGCAGAAAAGAGCATTCAGCAACATGTATGCTTTAGGCAACATGCCATTTCACTCCTTTATTTTCCACTATTTATTCATTATTGCATTATTTCTCCCAGGAGCTCAAGGTGGTATACTTGGTTATCCACCTACCATTTAATCCCCACCACGACTCTGTTAGGCAGGTTAGCCTGAGAGGCAGTGACTGGCCCAAGGTCACCCAGGTGAACTCCTTGGCCAAGTGGGGATCTGAACCCAGGTCCTAGTCCAACCCTGTAACCACTATACCACACAGACTCCTTGACTGTAATGGGCCTGAAGCTGGGTTCACATGTACCTCTGTCGCACATAACATCATTTCTTTATTTTTTGCTCTGGATGTCTTATAACGATAATGAAGGGGGCAGTTTTCCTTGACATGCATAACGGCACAACAACTCTCAATATCTTCATGTGCTTCACCCAGTTAATGGAAATGAACCCTTTATTTCTATGGGTTTTGACAAAGGTATCACACAACTGCGGTCAAATGCATATTATGAATAGATGTGAATACACCCTTTTCCATTGTCCAAGCACACCCAACTTCTTTGTTCCACTAACCTAGAACAAGGAGGCTGTATTTACACACTATTGTGACTTCCAACTGGATTGCTATAGCAACAGGTCTGTCTGCAAGTTGCAGACTACAAACAAGAACTATTTATAACTTTGTTATTTCTGGTTATTTACTATATCATTATTTTCAGGGCCAATATCTGGCGCACATGAGCATATTCTTCCTTTTAAATTGACCTTAACTATGACATTTGCAAACTATAGTTAACTTTCAAGGCAAGCTGGACAGATTTGTGAGCATTGTTATACAACCAGCTTCAAACCTGTAGTTAAAGACCATAGAAGGAGGGGAGGGGAGGCTTAAAGAAAAATAACAACTTGAGTTCATCTTCTTTTGCTTAAATGTTGGAATTGGCACCCACTAAACCTGGCGCCCGGGACGCGGGTGGCGCTGTGGGTAAAAGCCTCAGCGCCTAGGGCTTGCCGATCGAAAGGTCGGCGGTTCGAATCCCTGTGGCGGGGTGAGCTCCCGTTGCTCGGTCCCAGCGCCTGCCAACCTAGCAGTTCAAAAGCACTCCTGGGTGCAAGTAGATAAATAGGGACCACTTACTAGCGGGAAGGTAAACGGTGTTTCCGTGTGCGGCTCTGGCTCGCCAGATGCAGCTTTGTCACGCTGGCCACATGACCCGGAAGTGTCTCCGGACAGCGCTGGCCCCCGGCCTCTTGAGTGAGATGGGCGCACAACCCTAGAGTCTGTCAAGACTGGCCCGTACGGGCAGGGGTACCTTTTACCTTTTAAGGGTCCACGTGTGTCATCTAGTCCAACCCCCTGCAATGCAGGAATCTTTCAGCCAATGCAGGGTCCAACCAATGACCCTGAAATTAAGTGTCTCATGTTCTACAAGTTCTCTATGCAGTTTTAATGTTGTTTTCTTCTCCAATTTTGGTCACTCTAGAGACCCTTCAGGTCTGAATAATGGGTTATTTAGTTAACAAATATATACACTGCTAAATGTAAGAAATATCAAAGCGGTGTACAGTGGTACCTCGGGTTAAGAACTTAATTCGTTCCGGAGGTCCGTTCTTAACCTGAAACTGTTCTTAACCTGAAGCACCACTTTAGCTAATGGGGCCTCCCGCTGCCACTGCGCCACCGCCACACAATTTCTGTTCTCATCCTGAAGCAAAGTTCTTAACCTGAGGTACTATTTCTGGGTTAGCGGAGTCTGTAACCTGAAGTGTCTGTAACCTGAAGCGTCTGTAACCTGAGGTACCACTGTAAAAAATACAGATACACAACATAATAAAATAAAATCAGTCTAAAACACAGCATCACCAGCTTACATTCATAGTGGTTATCAGTAGGGTAGATCAGTAAATTTAATCAAGGAAACGCTGGGTGGCGGGGGGGTGGGGGTGGGATGGCATTTAGCATTCACGGTAAATAGGAAACTGTCAGCACATGCCTAATTTCCAGGGGGGAAGTGTTGTTGTTGTTGTTGTTGTTGTTAATTGAATTTGTTAATTGCTTTATCCTGCCCAGCCCAAAGTGACTTACAACCAACCAAACAGACAACCCCCACCCCCAGATACATTAAAATTAATAGGGGAGGAAATACATCCCACCCCCTTCTGAAAGGCCACTGATGGTTAAAAACTAAAGGCTTGGTTATAAAGGAAAGTATTTACCTGGTGCCTGAAGACATATAATGATGGCACTAGGCAAGCCTCCCTGGGGAGAGCATTCCACGAATGGGAAGCCACTGCAGAAAGGCCCTTGCATGCACAGGTGTTGTGAGCCGGAGTACCAATGACTGAAAGATCACTCATGATTGCCAACACCGTATGGTTCAAATTAGGCCACAACTTTATTTATTACAGATGTTAAGGGCTTGGCATAGGCATTGGGTTGTAACTGATATGGTTTGCTGAATGGTAGACCAAGGGGTCGAAACAGTGCCAAGGAGATCCTATGACATACATCAAATAGGTGCCACTATGCCAGGATTGCCGGCTCAAGACGTGCTATGGCCCTTGCCCTTGCCCAGGTGTCTGGACAGAAGCACCTCCTCCAAGGTCCCTTTAAGAGGATACCCCATTCCCTTGGAGGGGCAGGCAGAGGCTTACAACCTTCTCTCCGACCAGAACTAAGGCTTTTACCCAATGCCTTACCTGCCACACGAGCTGGTCCAAATTCTGGCTCGCCGCCAATCTACTCACAAGCAACATGTCAAATTGGCCATGATATCCATAAGCCAAACATCATTCTCAGGTGCACAGAATCTGGCCTGTCAGTTTTGCAAAGCCACATTCCTTTGGAGGTAAGAAGTATGATTGCGTTACCACCCTCTGGACTTCCCATGGAAGGGTCACGCAAAGAAGAGCCTCAGATGATGATTGCAGGGTCTGGGGTGGTTCATATGGGGAGAGCCGGTCTTGGAGGTATTGTGGTCCTGAGCCGCTGAAGGCTTTTGAGAAAACTTGTGCCCAGGGACGCGGACTTATAAAAAATATTGGGGGGGCCCGGGAAAGCTCATGAATAATAAATAAGCTCATGAATATGCAAATAAAGTGGCTCCGGCCCTAAATAGGGCAAGCCACGCCCCCCCAGCCAGCCGATTGGCTGGCTGGGAGGTGTGGGCCAGTCGGGATTCCCCTGTTCTCGCGGGGGCTGAAACCGCCAGGAGGAAGGAAATTCCCCCCGGCAGTGCCTTGGCAGTGGCGTGGTGCTGCGAAGCAGCGAGGCAGGAGCCCCCGCCCCCGGCGCCCGAGATTATTGGGGGGGCTGAGCCCCCCCCAAATTTTTTTGAGGGGGCTCGAGCCCCCTCAAGCCCCATGGAGTCGGCGCCTATGCTTGTGCCACCTCAATAAAGATGGATGGCAGGACTATGAAGCACCACCAGGACAACCTCATCAGAGAACTATGGCAGTCAAATGGCTATGGAGGGGAGAGGTGGCTTCTCAGTTAAATTTCTGTATAGACTCCAGCTTGACCATTTCCACCAAAGAGCTCATAAATCTTGGGTATGTGTGGGATAGTACAACGGTCCCTTGATGAGCATTTGACAGGCCACAGTTCATAACTAGGGACATTCAGTACCAATACTGCTGAAGTAGCGCAGGCCTTTTCTAAACAGATTCTGGAAACGAGATAGGCTACTAGCTCCCTCTTGCCCTGCTGGACTCAGAAAACCTGGAAGCAGTTCTGAGTCCACATTTATTTTTTTTCAGCAAGGGAAAAAATGATTTGATTAAAGGTTTTGGGTTCTTTTTTTAAGCTATCAAAAACTCCTGCAGCATAACCTACTTGTGTTCTCCAGCCTAGTGCAAGTGTAGCTATTGCAGTTCCCTCCAGATGTTGATGGACTCCATCAGCTGCAGTCAACATGGGCAAGGGGTGATGGGTGTTGGTGTCAAAAGGTACCACTGGTCTAGTGAGATCATCTGTAATAAAGGAAGCTAGAAATTGCTTGTGTCCGGATCAATTCTTTTTTTGCCCTCTACCTCTAGACCACAGTATTGTATTAAAGCAAGAGAAATGGACTGGTGTATCATCTTATATTTTTTTTTGTACGTAGAAGAATAGAGAGATTATTTTTGTCCTAGTGAATAATTGTGAATGCTTTCAGCAGAAAGGTCCACTTTATCAAATTGATGAATGATGTCATCAAGTCACTTTCCCCAGTGTTAGAATTGTACATTGTTAGCAAGTGGCATTTCCTGGAGCTTCTGCATGTATATATATTTTCTTGTATGGACCTTCAAAATGGCACAAAGCACTCTAGTGTGATGGTTACCGAGTGCATTGTTTCTGCATTAGGAATCATGAGCACCTATTGTTACAGCTCAGCAAAGGGCATATTTTTAGAAGAGCACATGAATCAAAGAAACATCTGGTGCCCTAAGATTACTTTCAGGCAATTCTAAATTCTTGCATTAAAAAGGCAATGACTGTTGCTAAAAAATAAAGTCTGAGACCATAGAATTCAGGAACATATGATTATACAAAAAAGAAACCCAAAATACACGATACCGTATTTTTCGCTCTATAACACGCTCCCAACCATAACACGCACATAGTTTTTAAAAGAGGAAAACAAGAAAAAAAAAAATTCTAAACAAAACAGTGGATGTATGATTTTTGTGGTTCATGCTGTGGCCACAGACATGTGATCTAACGATGAGTTTGGGGTAGCCCAATGCAAAAATCCTGAGGATCCATGTGGATCCGTGCTTTGTAACCACGTGAATGAAGGAACTGTCAGTAATGTATGGTATCTCCAATACAGTGATGAAGGAAGAGGGGGGGAGCTCGCACTTGTCCTAGGCAAAGCAGCCAACTCCTATAGGCCTAGGTGCCTTCACCCCCCCATTAAATATTTGAGGGAGTCATCCCCCATCCCCCATTGTGGTATGTGAGTGGGGCTTACCTGGCTGTCTCCCCAATATTTTTTGAAGCTGGAAGAGGGAGGGAGGGAGGGAGGGAGGGAGGGAAGGAAGAGAGAGGGGGAACTCACATTTGTGCAGCTGCCTTGCCTCGAACTGAAGCAAAAAGAGGAGGAGATGCAGGGACACGAGCCTTGTAAGCTGCTTTGTTTAAATTTACCGGTGAGGTGCTGGGGGAGGGACGGAAGGGGATGCCCTCTTTGTCCCTCCTTCCAGCTCATTGTAAAGAAAGCAGAGTAAGAGCCACTTACATGTGTGTAAGGGAGAGCCATAGAGCAGGCAGACACTGAGAAAAAGAGGCTGTCTCCCTTCTCCCACCTTGGCTTTTACAGCTGCAGGCAGCTCTTGCCGGCTTCCAAGCTGCCTCCCTTCTCCCACCTCGCTAAAAAGCCATAGAGCAGGCAGACAGGAGGGAGAGAGGCTGTCTCCCTTCTCCCACCTTGGCTTTTACAGCTGCAGGCAGCTCTTGCCGGCTTCCAAGCTGCCTCCCTTCTCCCACCTCGCCAAAAAGCCATAGAGCAGGCAGACAGGAGGGAGAGAGGCTGTCTCCCGACACTCAGCTGTTGCTCAGCTGTTGCCGGCTTCTCAGGGAGCCAAGCGGAGGAAAAGAGGCTGCCGAACAGCCAGCAAGAGCGGCTCCTCCTGCCTGCATTCGCTCCATAACACGCACACACATTTCCCTTTACTTTTTAAGGGGGAAAAACTGTGTGTTATGGTGCGAAAAGTACGGTAATTTGACTAAATATTCCACTCATATTTATGTCTAAAACAGCTACCCTGGAACTGGAATCAGAGCCTGAAAGTCCTTTAGCACCTCCTGCAGATCTGTTAGAGCCACTGGGTCATTATGAGTGGACTTTCCGAGATCTTGGTAAGTATGCATTGACATCATGGCACCCCTAGAAAAATATTGTTAAGTCGCTTTAAAATATTGTAAGCCACTTTGAGCTGCAGTGGCAAAAAATGCGACTAGTAAATTAAATAAATAAGCAAATAAACAAACAATAGAATCTCAGCCTAAAGACTTTGGGGATGGATTCAGACTTGCCCTCTTGCAAATGGAGGCTCCTTCCATTCATGAAAGGGAGGGTCCCACTGAAGGAAAGGCAGGGCAACTTTCCGCTGTTCCTGAAGGTCCCCCAATCCTTTGGAGCAGGTTTCCAGGGGATCCTGAGTTTTGCAATGCAGAATCAGCAGCAACGATCTGCTCCCTCAAACAGAGAAGAGTTCTCCCTAGAACTAGTCTGGATCCAACCCAATCGATGCATTACTGCCAAAGAACAATACGTTATACAGTGGTACCTCGGGCTAAGTACTTAATTCGTTCTGGAGGTCCGTTCTTAACCTGAAACTGTTCTTAACCTGAAGCACCACTTTAGCTAATGGGGCATCCTGCTGCTGCCACGCCGCCGGAGCACAATTTCTGTTCTCACCCTGAAGCAAAGTTCTTAACCTGAGGTACTATTTCTGGGTGAGCGGAGTCTGTAACCTGAAGTGTCTGTAACCCGAGGTACCACTGTAATGCAATGCAAGTTTCCACTTGCTACCGTGGAATGTCTTGGGCTGGCACTGTATGATGGAAGTACCCAAGGCTGCCTCCATAGCACATCTGTAACCATGGCCAATAGAACTCACCTAGCTGAGAATCTGTGCAGAAAACCCTTTCACTGACTATCAGCCGTAAGAACTAGAGAAAGGTGGGATTCCATTTTCAGACAGAATATATATTTGACAGATAGATGCTGCATGTTAATTACAACAGTTAAAAATGTGTATCAAGGTCTGTTCATATGTTTCCCTGGTTCATTTAGTTGCCAATGGCCAGAAGATAGAAAGCAGAATGATGAGAATTATTATTATTATTATTATTATTATTATTATTATTATTTAGTCGTTTAGTTGTGTCCGACTCTTCGTGACCCCATGGACCAGAGCACGCCAGGCACTCCTGTCTTCCACTGCCTCCTACAGCTTGGTCAAATTCATGCTGGTAGCTTCGAGAACACTATCCAACCATCATGTCCTCTGTTGTCCCCTTCTCCTTGTGCCCTCCATCTTTCCCAACATCAGGGTCTTTTCCAGGGAGTCTTCTCTTCTCATGAGGTGGCCAAAGTATTGGAGCCTCAGCTTCAGGATTTGTCCTTCCAGTGAGCACTCAGGGCTGATTTCCTTAAGAATGGATAAGTTTGATCTTCTTGCAGTCCATGGACTTCTTGCAGTCCATGGGACTCTCCTCCTCCTCCTCCTCCTCCTCCTCCTCCTCCTCCTCCTCCTCCTTCTCATCAGCTCTATGGGGGATTTTCCTTAGCTTTCAGGTTTTCACTGTTATCCCACCCCACCCGCTTTGTCAGCACCAAGAAATCATTGACGATGAAGACTAATTCTTCTTTAAATTCTCCCATCTAGGCAGAAAAAAATTAGTTCCGCCTCCAGAGGTAATGCAAAAGTTTAGCGAACAGAGAAACAACCCAGTATTTCTGCAATGCAGGTAAGAAATGTTTGTTTATTTTCCTTGTCTTGGAAAGCTGCCTTTCTAAGGTCCTAGCACTGGTATGAATCACACCCCACGCCTTGCAAAAAAGGTGCAAGTACCCACAGACTGAATCTCCTGAGCCTATAGGATTGGGCCAAGCAAAAATTCTTTGGTGGCTGGTGCCTATTGAGATGGTTAGGGCAGAAGACTGGCCGGCCAACAGTAGCTAGTGCCATAAAATCATAGAATCGTAGAGTTGGAAGGGACCCCAAGGGTCAACTAGTCCAAACCCCTGCAATGCAAAGGCAATAACAGGTTTTCCTTGTTTCATTCCCACCCTCTAAACTGCTGACCTCTAAAAGTAGAAGCTAAGCAGGAGGAAGCTGACAGCCAGGGCCACCCCTAGGCTAGTTGTAATAAAAAAAGTCAGGCAGTTGGGATGCTGGCTTAAGGCAGACTGGGTTTAGTGGGGCAGGACCTAATTTGCCCTAATGGACGACAGTGGGGAAGTTTGCACCAGGAACTTGCTACTCCATAGAGTCAGCCACTCCTCTCCCCCAGCCACTACATTAAGCCCATGCTGTTTGCCTCTAGTCATTTTGCAGCAATGGTCAGGTGGTTCGTGTGATGGCCCTGTTTTGAGCAAAGTGCACAGAACCAGCTGCTGAGAATGGATGGGGCTTTCAAAACTCCATCGTTAGGATCCATTTGCCTCTACATAAAAGGAGCAAGATTATACGTGTCTGTGTGTTTCAGAGGTTTTGCGCTGCCTGTAATCTTTAGAACAGGGCTGTTGAGAAAAGGCATATCAATATAATTTGACAGAGATAAGGAAACTGCAACCAGCCTAGAGCACAAGAATATTAGATAAGAACAGGCACGTTATTTAATAATTTGTTTTGGTTAACTTGAGGCTGGCAGTGATTTTTATTCCCCACCCATTCATTATTGTGTTATGGACACTGAGAGAGCCCTGACGGCAACGTCATAGAGGCCGTGTATCGCACCAAGAGATGTGATTGCCATTCACTTCTTCATTCCATGTTTGCATTTTTGGAGCTCCTGAACGACTGCTACGGGTATTAAATTCATTTATGTATGGTTTAGAAACGAGTGTCTGCTGTGCCGTTAATCCACAGGATCCCAAGAATGACAGATGACATGGCCAGAAATGCGCTCTTCAGCTTTGTCAATTCCAAATGTTGCTATGGCAACAGAGCTGCAGGAGAGCTTGTCATTCAGGAACTGAAGCCGCAAACATTGTACAGGGTGAGTATCCCCAGATGCGCTTCCAACAGGTGTAAATTAGACAAGAGTTAGGGAAGGGAAGTGGCTTGATGCAGATAGTTAAGCACTCCAATCCATCTGATTGATTTCAGTGGGACTTTAGCAGCATCTCATAGCTAAAAATATTTACCAGGCACATGCTCTCCACTGAGGTCTCTTCCCTTTAATCTTCAGTGCGCAGGTTATTCAGTCTGCATTTGCTCAGAGGCATCCTTCCAGGAGCAGAGGGTGGGGCAGGGTGTTGCTTACCTTACCTGGCAGCAGAATTGCTTTTGCTTGTCAGGAATGGGAGTGGGAGGGGCAAGGCGGTGGGGAAGTCTGTGCTGTGCAAATGCACCCGCAGGAACAACATGCTGGCTCCATTGATGTGTTTGCACAGCTCCAGCCACCCTGGCATCTTGATCCTCCCACTCTCCCTCTTGGTATGCAGGAGCAATTGTGCTGCCAGGAGGCCAGGTAAGCACTGCTGCCCCACCCTGCCCCCACTGCTGCAACCCTCTTAATGATTATTTCATATACCCGAGGGCCAGGACGGGCCCAAGGCATTTTGGCACCGGAGGCGAACCACAAAATGGTGCCCCCTGTGTCAGGATGTAAAGTCAGTTGGAGTCAGTTGTAAAGGTAAAGATAAAGGGACCCCTGACCATTAGGTCCAGCCGTGGCCGACTCTGGAGTTGCGGCGCTCATCTCGCTTTATTGGCCGATGGAGCTGGCGTACAGCTTCCGGGTCATGTGGCCAGCATCACCAAGCTGCTTATGGCGAATCAGAGCAGCGAACGGAAACACTGTTTAACTTCCCGCCGGAGTGGTACCTATTTATCTACGTGCTTTTGAACTGCTAGGTTGGCAGGAGCAGGAACCGAGCAACGGGAGCTCACCCCGTTGTGGGGATTCGAACCTCCAACCTTCTGATCAGCAAGCCCTAGGCTCTGTGGTTTAACCCACAGCGCCACCCGCGTCCCTATGGAGTCAGTTGTAGGTCAGCAATAAAACAATAAATCAACCAAGGCCAGTGACTCTTTATTCAAGGAAACAAATTGCAGCTCCAGCCCAGTGGTCTCAGCAACCCTTTCCTGGACCTCTTGCCCTGATGAAGCAGTTGCGAGGGCGGAAAGTCCCCACCTTTCTAGTGCTGACTAGGACTCTTCCTCTCCAAGCTGTGTCTGGGCACAACCACCCTCTGCTCTGGCCTTTTCATTTCTCAGTGTGTTCTACAATCCCAGGGGGAAGGGGAGCTGGACGCAGCAGGAGGGGAGACTCCCTGGCTTCTTCTGCAGCAGGCCTCTCTGCCTCTTGGCCCCACTCCCTACAGCCCCCGCTGCTACCTCTGAGTCTGAACCGTGCTCTGCCACAGCCTCTTCCTGCTCACTAAGTCCTGTTACCTCTTCAGCTTCTGACACACCCTCCTCCCAGTCTGCTCCCTCTTCTCCCTCTGACCACTCATCATCGTCCCACCACGAATCCTCTGGCTCTGAGCCTTCTTCCCCTGGGGGTTCCCCAGCTGGTGCCTCCCACCATTCCTCTGCATCCAGCCAGTCCATGACCCCCCACCAGGGAAGAAAAGGGGAGTGATGATCTACATCAGAAACAATGTGTGTGGGGGGAATAAAGATCAACATTGGGAACAGGGTTTGGGAGAAGACCAGCAGTGCCTCCTATTCACTGAGAGGCCACTGTGGAGGAAACATTAGGGCGGCGGGGGGAGGCTGTGAAGGAGGTGGTAGATGTGGCCTTCAAGGAGCTGCAGCTGTCTCTAGCACTGTGGCAGGCAATGCATTCCTTGCAGACTGGATCTGCCACTCGGTGGATCCTGCTGCTGAGGCAGTCACCTCATTTTGCCTCATGGGTGGGCCACTCTTGCCGAGACCTAAGCCTCATAAATAAAAACTGGTTCATGTACATGAGTCTTGGTGACCAGTGGCACAAACTGAACATGCCAAATTTGGTTTGTGAGAGGCTGAGATTACTTTATTGTTGTGAGATGACTAAGAATATGAGGAACAGGAGGGCAATGAAGCAGAGATATGATGAAGCGGAGAGGTGGGGAGAAATTTGCTCCTTGTTCAATTACTTTCAGGAGTTGTGGGATGGCATGGCAGGCCACTGGTCCATCACAGACTACCATCTCAAAATGTCCGCAGACAACTCTACTTGCTGAGCAGGGCTTAAAGCGAACAAAATATTTCCTATTTACTTTCAGTGATAATTGCAGTTTCTAGTAATTGCATTTAATTACAATATTTATTTCTCCACAGTATCGGCTGGAAACCTTTACTGAAACAAGATTGTGTGAATGGACTTTTGAGCCTTATGCCAGTGAGTAATTTTCATGAATAGTGAATTTTGATTGCAGTTGTGTCACTGTAATCCAATGTAATTTGTCACCTAATCATGCTTTGTACAGAGCCCTAAAAAATCTAGCTTCATTTTACTTACAGCCATTCTGTCATAACTGATAGTGAGCACACAGCCACGTGGATGGCTGATTCCCTGTAACACCTGTCCATGAAATCAGAATAATTTGTTCACACTTTAAGCGAACCTACCACACCCACAGAATCAATATATGAATCAAAACAACTTCTCCTTCAAAATCCACACTTCTCAAACATTTGTAATGTCATTCTCCAGTAAAAGAATATGCACAGAAATGTGCATAATAGTGAAAAAATGAAAATAACATACAAAATGCATGCAATTAAGGGAGAATTCCTTGCAGAAAAATACACACACTAGGCTGTGGTTTTTCAACGTGATGCCCATGGGTATCATGGGGCCTGCAAAGGGCTTCAGTGGTGACCTCAAGCCTGGGAGGCAGACTCAGGGATTTCTTTTCTTTTTTCTTTTTAAAAAGGAAGTCCTAGAAATAAAGCTATGAAGCAAAATGTGCAATTATCCTTCTAAGTGATTTCTGTGAAATAAGTGAATCTGGTTGCTCCTACCTGTCAGTGTTTTCAGCCAATGGGTGAAGTCAGAGCTGTGATTGATAAGTGAGTTGTGTGAACACCAGGCAACAGGGACCCCTGGGTTCCTAAAGAGCTTATGTTTTCCTCTTCCCTTTGCGTGTTCAGACCTTTAAACCTTCCCCTTAAATAAATTCAGACAAGACTCAAATTTTGATTTGGTTTTTGGCAGAATTTAGGCCACAACTTTATTGATTACAGCAAGTGAGTGGTTGCATAGGCTCTGGTTCAACTAGCTCCCTGCACCCTTGCAGGCAGCGCTGACCCAGGGCACCAGCATAGGTCAGCCTTGGGTGAACTCCTGGATAAGCGGAAAGTCGGGAACAGGCTATGTCCACCAACCAAATGTCCCCCTGGACTCAGGCACAGGCACAACCCCCTCTCAGGGGTTGACCAAACCATTGAGTCCCTGGATTCCTTTAACAGAATACCCTTCATATAGGGATGGCGAGAGTGTTCCCCCATCCCTATCACCTGAACCAGAGCCTATCCGCAACCTTACAAGTTGTGATGATTTGCTACGTGGCAGGTGAAACCCAAACGGCAACAGCCAATCAGCCAAGTGGGGAAATTCCTGCCGTGCCCCAGTCCCAACGACAGACGACACAAGACGGCATAGCAAGGTCAAACGCAACAAGCCCTGAAAGTAGGGAGAGGTGGGTGGGTGTTCCGATGCACAAACCGAAAGAGGAAGCTCTGGGTCCCTTGATCCGTTTAGGCTGAGTCCCATTGGCCTGATTAAACCCATCATCAAGGGACCTACCAACTGGGTGCTGTGGCTATCCAAACGTACCCACCCACAGCACAGGGTTTGGTTGCCAGGTCTCACCACAACACGTGCTCTCTTTTAGGGAGGACCCGATTTAGTGCACTTTTCCTGCATCTGTCTTGCTTTCTAGTAGTCCTTGGAATTTCCATACTTCGCCTTTCCATTCTTCCTAGCAACCAGGATGTGTTTTTTTCCTGTGAAGGGTTCATCTGAGATCAGGTACTCCCTAAAATTTACTGTTTGCAGAATAAGTGGGAAGTGAATGTTAAGCAATCCCCTCCCCCAATGGCAAATGCAAAACGTGATAACTTTGCAGAGAAGCTTATACAGTGGTACCTCGGGTTACAAACGCTTCGGGTTACGAACTCCGCTAACCCAGAAGTAGTTGCTCCAGGTTGCAAACTTTGCCCCAGGATGGTGGCGCTGCGGCAGCCGGAGGCCCGTTAGCGAAAGCATGCCTCAGGTTAAGAACGGTTTCGGGTTAAGAACGGACCTCCAGAACAAATTAAGTTTGTAACCTGAGGTACCACTATACAGATATCCTGCTGTGCGGGAGCTGATGTTCGGGCACGCTTTAAGAATTCACTGCACAACTTACAGTACAGTGGTATACATGTCTACTTCAGAAGTTAGATGAGTCCTGCCCTTTGACACCAGAAATTTAACAGACAGTCTGAATGCTGTTAACACTTCCAAAATAATCAACAGAGGGCAAAGGGAAACTGGTATCTCATATGCCAATCAATATATCTCTAAATATTTCAGAAGCTGAAGATTCTTGCCTCTCAAATAGATTGCGTCCATGCCTCTAACATTTCATAAAGCATTCAGTTTTTGTTCATTTTGTACATAATATGTTCCTTCATATCAGTGCTTTTTTTCTGGATGAACGCAGGGGTACGCATACCCCTAAACATTTTGTGAATATTTGTACTTTTGTTCATTTACTGTATTTAATTTTCCCGATTTGAGCTATAAAACGGTGATTTTCTTGAGTCAAAATGAGAGTAACCCTAAGCATTTTATTTTTTTTAAGAAAAAAGCACTGCTTCATAGGATTGTCAGATCATTTGAACTTTGACTCAGCACAGAAAAGTTCCCACTTACTTTAGGAAAAGGCCTTTCCTTCAAGTTATCACGGGCTCACAAAAGAACCCAAAGTTAAAAGAAAAAAGGTTGCTTGTACTATCAGTATTATAAAGGTGAGGTGTAATGGCTTTCCTGGAAAAGTAATAAACTCCTACTAAAGTGATTGGCACGGCCTGTTGTACAAAGCAGCTGAGAGTTGCTGAAGAGAGCTGAAAGGTTCTCTTTACTAACTTCATCCCCCTCCCCAGTTTTGTGGGGGCTTTGTGATGTCTTTGGGTAACTGGAGGCAGCCATTATTGCTATTCAAAAAGGCAACTCTTCTCTAGAAACTTCTTGCAAAGTGTGAAATACCTCAGTGCCTGTCAAGGAGCTCAGACAAACATCCCTGGAAAGAATGAATTCACTTATTGATCCAAAGGAGCAGCCTGGACAAAGAAACTGCACAGATAATCTCTGCACAACTTGATGAACCCCTAGAAAACTTGAACATTATATCTGGATCTTGGGTCCACTAGACAAATGTAACTCAGCATGGAAAAAAGATAGCTATAGAATAGCTAGCTGTATTATCTATTTCAACTAAGAACTCTTTCGATAATTTAGTTTAATGGATATATTAATCAAGGATCTAAAATGTGGAACTATATATTCACATGGTACTCAATTTTTAGTCATATTAAGCAAAGTTTTTTCAAAATAATTCTAGTATTCCCTCTAATTATAATAAGGTGAGCAGCAATATGCTGATCAGGGCGAAGCAAAACAGGACCCCCTGTAAACAAAGCAGAGATTTCTCTGTTCCATCTACTATTTGATTTCAATGGGCTTAAGTGGTGTTTGGGTTCGGATTATGGTCTCTAGGCTTGCTAAAATATTGTGTTTATGTTGTTTCTTTCTATCAGATATTTTGGTAGATGGGCCACAAAATGGCGCATCTCCTCAACCATGGGATGTTAAAGTCCAAGTTCCACAGATGTTTCAGGAAGATACAAAAAAGTTTCGCATTCCTCACTCTTCTTTAGTAAAGGTAATTTGTCAATCATGGGTTGAAAATCAAGCATTAAGTCACATTATTATACCTCAGTTATGCTGGTTTCTTGATCTGCTTTATCACACAGCTCTGTGATGGTTAATATTTTGTAGGTGGTTTTCATTTACATACCCTTTGCTTTCATTTGCCGTAGGTAAAAAAATTCTGTTGCCCTTGGTAGTTCAGTTAGGCTGCCACAGTCAGTCCCTTGAACTAAATGAGACTTACCTCTGAGTACACATGCATAGGATTGCACTGTTCTGCTTCCCCAGTTAAGGCACCACCATTCATTTTGTTTAAGACAATGGCATGCAATTGCTGGAAATACTTGGCAGAAATCTGTATTTGTGCACCATTTATATTTCAGGAATGCCACAAGTGTCATGGTCGTGGCCGATACAAATGCAGTGGGTGTCATGGTGCCGGCAGAGTGAGTATTGGCTGTGTCCTCTCCAGTTCAATTCCTTCTTTCTTCTGTGTTCTCAGTGTTATCACTTGTGCCACTTGTACAGCAATCCTGTTTAGTCATTTCATGTTGTAATCTGTGTTGAAAAATCCATATATACACCAGAAGGAAAGCAGTGCCTTGCATACTTAAAAATACCAAATGTGTTGGGGAATGGCATGTTCAGGCAGACATTTCTGACATTTGGGGGAAAGCTGTTACTTCTAGAATCGCATAGCTATCAACTTACAGATTTGAAAATAAGGGATCAGCAGCCAAAATAAGGGATTTTCCGAGCACAGGTATGTTCAACTTCTGAGCCCCTCCGAGCCAAAGGCAGAAAGCCCAGCCAGCAGCCAAACGAAGCCTCAAGCGGTGGTTCCCACAGCGCAGCAACCCGGCAAAGGGGATGCAGCAAGGGAAACCACTGTCACCTCTCCGCTGGGAAGCGCTGAGCAAAGACGAGTCCCCAGGCAACACGGCCGATTTGATTGGCACAAGGCATGCAAGCTCCACCCCCCAGTCATTCTTAGACTCCTTATTGGGTGAGCAATGCAGCCAAGCAACCCAGTTGGAGCCTCCCTCCTCCCTGGCTGGCAGGGAGGGAGGGAGGAAGAGGAGATGCTTCCTTTGAAACCTGGGAAATTTAAGGGACATCATCAATAAGGGACAGCAGCGGGACACGGCGCTGGGATAGCGGACTTTCCCGCCAAATAAGGGACAGTTGACAGCTATGTAGAATCGTGTAATCTGTTCTGTTGTTGTTGTGGTGCACCTTTAGATGAGGTGTGTGACATGCAGTGGAGCCAGACATAAAGCAAAAGCGAAACACCTGAAACATCAAAAGCGATGCCAGATGTGTTCAGGTAGTGGACGTAAGAGGTAAGTTTTTTGAGGTGGGATATTCTCTCTCTCTCTCTCTCTCTCTCTCTCTCTGCTAAACCAGCTTGATAGATATTACTTTACTTATTAAATATTTAGGATAATTTCTGCCAACACCAAAGGAACTTAAGAATTAAATAAATCAAGGGAGTCCTACTATAAAGTGATAAACCAAAATCCAAAAGTAAAGATATGCACACATACGTATATCTATCGCAGGAGCTCTTAGAGGCTTTTCCTGCAGTGATTGCCCCATTAGCCGAACCACCGATTACCTGAAAGGAAGAGCTGACATGAAAGGGAGGCTTGACTGTGTTGCCATGGTGACAAAGATGCTTCTTTCCATGGAAGGAAGGCTGGCCGAATTGGGGTGAGGGGTGGGTGTGCTACTATCCCACCTGCAGCTGATTATTTGTAAGCTAAGGAGGGTCGCCCACAGAAGCTTTCTAGCCCAGAAAGAGAAGAGAAGGAATGAGGATGATTTCATGCCCTCTGCTCAGCCGAGGCATGGTTGTCCCCCTTCTCATTTAATCCCCACAGCCACCCTGTTAGGTAGGTTAGGCTAAGAGGCAGCCATTGCCCCTAGGTCACCCAGAGAGCTTTATAGCTGGGTGGGATTGGAACTCTGATCTCCCAGGTCCTAGTCTCACACTGTGACCACTCTTCCACACTGGCATACAGGGAAATAAAGAAATGGTGAGCACCTCTGCATGCTGGCCATGTTCTGAGTTTTTGTGGTGGCAATATGTAGGCAAGATCTCCCTACGGCTCAACAGAACCCCTTGGATCCATCAAAGGCATTGCTAGACATGCAGACACTGCATGTAAGGGATGGCCTACAGGCACCTCCTAGGTGTGAGCCCAGCAGTCCCATGGCTCCCTGGTATTAAGAGCAGTGGTCTCTTAATCTGGTGAACCGGGTTTGCTTCTCTCAGGCTCACTCACCTCACAGAGTGTGTGTTGGGGGGGAAGGAGATTATTAGCCGCTTTGAGACTCCCTAGGGTAGTGATAAAGCGGGATATCAAATCCAAACTACTACTACTACTACTACTACTACTACCTCTTCTTCTTCTTCTTCTTCTTCTTCTTCTTCTTCTTCTTCTTCTTCTTCTTCTTCTTCTTCTATTGCTATGTGCACAGGCACAGAACCCGAGTAGCCTGCATGCCCAGCTCCAGGGAAGGGCAAGGTAACTGGATTTCTATTTATGGAAGACATGGATAGGCTGACCATTCTAGGTAAAGGCTGAGAACATTGCAGTACACTTGTCCATCCAGATTGGGGCTGGCAGGGATGAAAGTAGGGAGTTAATGGGCTCTCCTGAACTCGGGAGGGGGGGCATCCTTGCAGCACACAGGGGAGACAGAGAAGGAGGGACAAAAGGGATAAGAAAGATGTAAACCCAGTTCATTTCTTCGCAACAGATTCTACATTTTGGGGCTTTTATCCACTTATTCAATAAGCATAAGCATAAGAATAAGAGTAACAGCAGCAGCAGCAGCAGCAGCAACAGCAATAGCAATAGCAATAGCAATAGCAATAGCAATAGCAACAACATAGTACTGCCCAGCAATGCAAACCAGCCAAACTTCAATGATTAAGTACTGAATTGACAGATTTCCATTCCAAATAGGTCTGACACCCTCAAGCTGTGACTTCCTAAATCTCATCTGTGCAATGATAACGTGCATATCAAAACCTATGAAAGTACCTCTGAGCCCAACATTAACTTTTTATACAAGGAAAATATTGTTGAAGGTTATGTCTATACAGGGTACTCAGGGCTCAGACGTACTTTGATAGGTTTTGATATGCACGTTATCATTGAGAAACAAGGCTGATGACACCATCTGGTTGAGGGATCCAAATCTCACCTAATCCCATGGAAAAACTTCCATTTTCCATTTACAGTAATACCTCCGCGAACATCTGCCTTGTCTAGTGTCCGTTCTGGCAAACGTCTGCGGCAAACCCGGAAGTGCTGGAACAGGTTACTTCTGGGTTTGCCGCTCGCACATGCGCAGAAGCGCAAATGCGGTGCTTTGCCCTGTGTCCTTTTCGGCTAGTGGCCGGGGCTCTGGAACGGATCCCGGCCGCAAAACGAGGTACGACTGTACCATATTTTACAGAGCCTTGTTTTCTTCTGACACCTTCTCCTCCCAGGTTGTCTGCAGTATGCAGAACTGCTGCCCTTCTGCTTCTCCAACTGCTGAACTAATTGCCTTTACAAATGATCTTTAAGTGATGCAAAGTAGCTCACCATTCTTTTAAACTGTTTTTATTAGGCTCCATTACGCTTAAAATAACAGAGATGGCATTGCGGGATAATCGTGCAATAATTTTGAAAGCGGGATCCATTGGGGCTAGCAACATCTTAAAGTGCTTTCATAAATCAGCTGTTAACTGCTGCTAATCTGCGTCATGTTGATGCAATCCAAATTTGCCAAGAACAAACATATGCTTTCTACATCTGTTGTAGGCAGAATGGCACTTTCCTTGAAAAGGGTCACCTAGTCTTCTATAGCTTTGTAGGGAAACGGCCATTTTGTGGCAGATGAGCATTTCATTTCCTTCAATGACATCTTTGTTACTCAGTGATCTCTGTGCTGGCACAGATCATGCAATTGAGCGACTCGCTGTTGAGTGTTGAAGTTAAATAGGTAAAAACACTTCCCCCCTTTTAGCTCCTAAACATTTATATTGGTAGTTAGGGTGGCTCATAATGGAACTAAACCAAAGCAAGACCATAATACTTCCAGCCCTTCCCCTTCTGACACCTGATTTCCTATCCTGTTTCTCACACAGTTTAAAGGGTCATTGGGAGAACCAGATGCTATCCACTAGATGCCATCATTGATGGCCTATGTGGATCCAAAGGAGACATATATGAAAACTCCCTGAGAAATATTATTAGTTTTAGGGCCAATCTAGGTGAGGCAATGGAGAACCACGCCCATCTTTGATTTGAGTAAGCCTATGGTTTTGGAGTGGGGTGCGACTCTTTCTTCAATGCCATTTCCCCCCCTGACCTAAATCAATTTGCCTTCCACACTGGGGCAAATAGCAGCTTTAAGGGAAGGAGGAAGATTCAGATCAGAAAAGTCGAACACAAGCTAAAGAGTTAACTCCCCTTCCAGACATCAGCAAACTGACCCAATTGTGGCACAGCTACTGCTTTTTTTTATTTTTTATCTTGAGATGTTAGGAAATCTGACCACAAAACTAGATTAGTCTCTCTGGTAGTGTACAGCTTTTTAGAATTTCTTTGGGTGCCTTCAACAGTTCTTGAATATTTCACCAGAACAGAGGCTTGGAATTTGCCTCAAAATTTGCCTTCAGATGAAATTCAGTGGTAATTCAAGTCACAAGCATTATATATCTGCCTACTGGTTTTATCTTATATTTTGTATTTAGTTTCTTAGGCTGCTGTGCTTTTTTATACTGTGCACCTGCTTAAAATGGGGTGGATCACATTTTGAATAAATCAATACATGCACAAAGTTCAATTTTACATCTAAAAGGTGCAGCACCTGTTCTGGAAGAGGCAGCAAAACCTGTACGACGTGCCATGGAGAGAAAAAGTTGCTACACTACATCCAGCTAACAATAACTTGGTATGTTCTCTTCTTCGTGATGTTGCTCTTTTTGTCATCATTCTCTGAAATTAATTGCCTTGACTGCCAAAGGCTCTTAAATTCATATGTGTGAAGTGTTTATTAATACTAAGATTCTGTGGGTGCTTTGCAACATTAATTAGACTAGACCCTATAGGGAGGGGTGGGGGAGAAATTTAAAGGCAAATATACCTAAATCACACTTTCTGAAATCTGTGATCTGAAACAAAGCCATTCTTCAAAATGTGCACTTCTCCAGATTTCGGAATGTAGTTCTGCAACCAAATAATGTATGCGCAAATGTGTATATTAGGGAAGAATGTGTATAAAAAGGCATCTATTAATGAAAATTATATTAAATATGTATAAAATTAGGGGAGATGGCTTTGCTAATATGGGTATATCAGGGAAATTGCATACAAGTGTGTGTATAGAGGGAGGGATTCACTGATGATTTTCCATGAGGACTTTTTTTTAAACAACAAAAACAACAGTTTTGTGTCAAAACGTGGAGTAGTGAGCTTAGCACTGGAAATATGGGAAGCAGAGAGACACCTGTCTCAGGCAGATAGATTAAAAAGAAGCTCTCTTATCACACACCCTTCCACATGTCCATCTAATATGTCTAACCATTTTGACCTCCTTGCTTTGAAAGTATAAGGTGGGGGTATGAATGTGTATATACACCCACCCACCCACCAATCAATCAGGGGCTATACACAGGAAACATGATAACTGACAAGATAAACAGTGGTGTATTCTTATATTTTTTAACTGCAAACTATGAAAGCAAGTAGTTTTTTATTATTAAATGAAATCACAGAGCATAAACAATTTCCTGCTCTCTTTGCTTTTTGGTGGACCCACTAAAATCCTGAACTTCTCAATGTCCGCCCCCCCCCCCCCCCGTCCTGGGCAAAAATAATTTCTCTGTCAATGGAAGGCCAAAAGTGATTTCAGAATGTTTATGTGTGAGCAGCAACCTCCAGTTTGTGTTCACCAGCAACTGGTCTCCAAAGCCTCTGTTGCCGATATAGGAGGTAGAATCATAACTAGTAAACACTGAAAGCCTTATCCATCCATTGATCAGTATAGACCGACACAGTGCTCTGAATCCTTCTTACCTTGCAGGAAGAACAATGTATATGAATTCATTTATGAGAATCAGTTGAACTTTCCCAGAGAACTACTCAGTAAAGTTACGGGAGATAACATATTTAAAGATGAGAACGCTGTGGTGAGTAAAATACATGCCCCCCCCCAACATGACTCCTGGTATTTTCCATATGAAACCTTGTTGAAAAATTACTGGAAGCAGCTGAACTGCTTAACACAATAACTCACCCACATCTTTCAGCCCCCTACCTTCATGGACAATGGAAATCTGCTCAGAAATCTCATGAGATTGCAGACTACCTACTCAAGATTGCAGACTACCTACTCAAGATTGGAGCTAGTGTTTCTCTCTGTACTTAGGAAGTTTGGAAGCTGCTATATATTGAGTCAGACTATTGGGGGTCTCTCTAGCTTAGTAGGGACGCGGGTGGCACTGTGGGTTAAACCACAGAGCCTAGGACTTGCCGATCAGAAGGTTGGCGGTTCAAATTCCCGCGACGGGGTGAGCTCCCGTTGCTCGGTCCCTGCTCCTGCCAACCTAGCAGTTCGAAAGCACGTCAAAGTGCAAGTAGAAAAATAGGTACCGCTCTGGCGGGAAGGTAAACGGTGTTTCCGTGCACTGCCCTGGTTTGCCAGAAGCAGCTTAGTCATGCTGGCCACATGACCTGGAAGCTGTACGCCGACTCCCTCGGCCAATAAAGCGAGATGAGCGCCGCAACCCCAGAGTCGGCCACGACTGGACCTAATGGTCAGGGGTCCCTTTACCTTTACCTAGCTTAGTACTGTCTACACTGGCTGGCAGCAGTTGTCTCAGATTTCAGGCAGGCTCTCTCCCAGCCCTATTTGGAGATGCCTGGGATTGAAACTGGGGCCTTTTCGCATGCAGAGCATGTGCTTTCCCCCTGAGCCATGCTGCTTCCCCAGTTTGATGTTGATAGCAAGCCACCAGTATGTCACTAAGTATTTGTTCAATGCATTTGCTCTCTATAGATAACATTCACGCCGCATCTCTCCCATATTCCGATAATGTCACATTCCATTTTTACATGCATGTTTTTCTTCCTCTTGCTGGTAGAGATAAATCTGAAAACATAATGGCAATATTATATACCAAAGACTCAGGCACTACGAAAGCTCAGCTATTAGGTGATCATCTATTATGATTTCTGTGTCTGCCTTTTGAGAGCAGTTGATGAAGATTCAGTGTTCTTCCTATTGGTATTAACAATTCCAGAACGGAAGAATAAAATGCACCACATCCAGCAATTTCACATCCACCATGTTCATCTCATTCATATTCATAGTATGTAAATGATACGGCTTTGGTTCTACAGCTCCTGATATGCTGCTCTAACAGAGCATGGTGCTGAGCAAATCCCTGCAACTGATGAAAGTGATGGACAGGCTTAGACTAGAAAAGTGGCTGGTTGCTCTTATTTCATCTTGCTAGACAATGCATTATACACAATGCCCCAGCAGACTAAGTGAAATGGCCATCACCTTAACTCATTTGCCTAGTGTGTTAATAAACCAGGGCTGGATCTGGACACATCAAAAAAACGTTTCAGGAAACGTGTTGCAAAGTTCATAATGGGAAATCACGTTGCTGAAGGAGCAGACTCTACAGCGCCATCTGGTGTCACAATGCTGTAACGCATTTAAAACACACACTCTTATCTTTTCTTTTTCTAATGTAGCTGAGTCTCAGGTTGGAAGGATAGGTGGGGATGGTCAGAAAGGAGACGGGTGAAGGAGGGTGAGAATGACTCTGATTGCCTCTTTTGAAATTGCAGGTGTACCCCCTTCTTGACTTCCCTTACCCTGAGATCTCTCTGGCATCTGAAAGAGCTATTGCAGAGCACAGGGCCACATTCACCAACACATCCCGCATTCTGCAACAGGTATTCGCAATAGACATGTGTTTCTTTGATTTTTATTTAAACAAACATTTAACCCCAGCTAAATACTGGGAACTTTGAAACTGTGGGGAAATTTCACAGAATCAAATATGTGTGGGTTTTTGTTTTGGTCAACTTTCCTTTCACTTTTGATTCTAAGCCGTTGAATCTATATGAATCTATCTGTTGTTCATCATAATCTGTGAATGGAAAGGTACCTTCTCTTTGCAAGAGGCATCGAGATTCAGAGAAGGCTGCTGCTGGAGCAGAAGGAAGGAGGTGATTTCCATTCTGCTGCCCTCCATTCTGTCTCCCCAACACTTCTGAGCAGGTTTACGGGTGGCGGGGGATGAGGAATCGGCAGAAATCATTTCCCCCATTTTGTTTGCAATGGTGGGAACATCCTATGAGTAGAGTTCCACTCACAGGAATTCTGAATACAAGCCAATTATACAAGCCAATTGATTTGAGCTGAAAAACTTTGTAGTGAAAGGGCAATTCTTATCTGATAATTATTCTTAATACTTCTTTTAAAAATGTACTAAGGTTGCTGCCATGCTACAGACCTCAGCGTTACTCAGGCATTCCTTTGCCACAATTCCGGGGAAATACTAATACTGAAAGTGAACCTGTTGTATTGAATCACATTGTATTGTAATAGCACGCTGCACTATTTCATTTTAGCACCAGGTGGCATAGAGACAACATATCATCTATGCAGCTAGTTAACTTCTGTACCCTTCATAAAGGGTTCATTCCCAGCCTCAATGGTAAAGGAATTATGTAGTCAAATATTTTGACTAAATGCTTGGTTTTTAAGCATGTTTTCAACTGATGAATCAATTGAACCAATTTGTTGTCCCTGAAACTCTCTCATTGCTAAAATATAACCAGCAGACTATGTCTGAGAAACATTAATCACCATAATAAACCTTAACACACAAAGCGTTCAGGAGTTTGATGCATTGTCCCAGGAGTTCCTGCAATAACCCGGTAGAGAATTCTGGAGTTTAGGCATGAAGTTAATATTTATGAATGAAATAACCATCCACTCTTTGCGCCCTCTTCCACTATGGAAGAAAACTTCTAATGTTAGCTTAGGGTTGGGGGAGACAAGTATAAAACACAGCCACCTTACAGGCTCTTCCCAATCATCTTAGAGAGCTCCTAACATGATCGGAGCAGCGCTGGAAGGCTGCATTCAGCCACAACAGTGCATGCGTACGTTTTTCTAGCTTGCTTCAACTTCACTTATTTATTAGACTTATTAGTCACTTGTCACCTAGCAGGACTCCAGGCAACTTGCCTCAAAGAATATACAGTGGTACCTTGGGTTAAGTACTTAATTCGTTCCGGAGGTCCGTTCTTAACCTGAAACTGTTCTTAACCTAAAGCACCTCTTTAGCTAATGGGGCCTCCCGCTGCTGCCACGCCGCCGGAACACGATTTCTGTTCTCATCCTGAAGCAAAGTTCTTAACCTGAAGCACTATTTCTGGGTTAGCAGAGTCTGTAACCTGAAGTGTATGTAACCTGAAGCATATGTAACCTGAGGTACCACTGTATGCATAAATATGATCTACGGTATGTTCAAGACAATGATGCTGTGAGGGGACACTTTATGCGCGCATTACAAAATACACGCCTGCTGTGATAAACCTTTCTTCCACACATAAGGCCCCATCAATAAAATCTACATTTGAGGGGTGAGGTAAAATTAACTTATGATGATGTTAGGAAGCACACTTGTAGAGGTCAGGTACATGCATATTGTATAACACTGGTGGTAATCCTTAGCAGCTGGCCTAGTAAAAGCTGAAACAGGCCATGTTCTGCCTCCATTCCAATCACATTCACAGCCATGTCCACTTCTGCGTGTCAGTCAAGTAGGATTCCCTCCTGTCCTTCCAGATTTGGCATTTTCACCTTCCCAGCTGCATCTTGGCGGGTAGAGGGATGATCTACAGCTTTACATGGTATCTCTGTTGCCAGACTGCCCTCCTTCAGGCTGCAGGCACAGGAATCAAGTGTGTGTGTGTGTGTCCACAAAACTGTCTGTACAGTCAATACCAGCTGTTATTATTAAGTAAATTAATCACCAAACTCTTCACCAGCAGACCCTAGGGCGGGTGACAACAATTTAAAATTCAGTATGAAAAACGGTTTAAAGGGTCTCAGGAAAAGGGTTGTTCCCCAAAACACATGTCTCGGGTGTCAAAGGCCAGAACTGACATACTAGTTATGTTTACACCAAGTATCCCACCTTCCCTGTTTCTAAGTGCTTTTGATAAAAAGATACCGGTAAATGGCTGCAGATTATTGGTATGGGTTTTTTCTGTGAGAAAGATTCGTGCCATGCAGATTCAATCCTATGTAAAATCTCTCTCCCTCTCTCTCTCTACATATACAATTTTTGTTAATATACATTACAACAATTATTCAACAAACATTCTAACATTTCAAACTTCAACTCCCTTCCCCCTCTTTCTGTGGTTCTTCACATTTATTTTTGTCATTTCCTGCATACTTCAAATTATCTTATTTATTTATCTATTCTCATATTTGTCTCATAAACACTTTTGAAATCACAGGTCTATACAACAATCCTGCCAATAATCTGTTTACAGTTTGTTTGTAAATACTCAATAAAACATTCCCATTCCTTTCTAAAGAGTTTATTGTCTTGATTTCTTATTCTTCCGATAAGTTTCACCATTTCTGCATACTCCATTAATTTCATATTTTTCTGTTGCCTCTCAAATGTTTTTAATGTGTTTTATAACTGCAACACTTTTAGCTGTTTTTTATAATTGTATATTTGCTACTTGCGTGTCGAGGTCCCCAAGCCAACCCCCAATAACTCACACATCACACATCAATTTTGGTTTGGGTTTTTGGCACGATTTTGGCCACAACTTTATTTAAATACATCCAAGTGAGTGGTTGCTTAGGCATTGGTTCTGACTATCTGTCCATGCCCAGGGGACAGAACTGACTTCCGGATTCCAGCGAAAGCCAGTGCGGGAAACAACTTTTGGGGAGAAAACGAAGCTGGGCCTCAGTCCCTCACTTCTCACCCTCACGCTCCTGGTGGCTTGCACGGCCCAAATCCGATGCCAGGGGCAAGGACGAAAAGAATGGCAAGCCCCTGGATTCCTTTAACGGAATTCCCTTTCCGCACCACCATTGGAGAGGTAGGCACTTACCCCTCCACCAACCAATTTGAACCAATGCCTAACCGCCAACCTTACAAGTTGTGACGATTTGCTACACAGTAGGCAAAAGCAAATGGCACCAGCCAATCAGCCAGATGGACAAATTCCTACCAGGCCACTGCCTCAAAGCAGATGACCTCATGACAGGCATAGCAAGGTCAAGCGAATAGCCCCCCCCAATACAGGGAGGGTGTGTGTGGGGGGGTGATCCGGTGCAAGCAGCCAAGAGAATGCTCAAAGTTGGGCGACCAGTATTTAAAACCTCTGACCCCTCCTTCAAAATCGGCAACAAGCAGTTCTCCCCAGCGACCCGATTAACCAATTCACTGCCTGGGTCCCTCCACAAATCCGCCCAGCAACAATGGGGTGGCTTGTATCCCCCACCGCAACACGCGCTCTCTGCTAGGGAGAACACGTTTTATAAGCAGACCGGAGACCTTGTGGTTAAGAGCAAGCAAGACATTTTAGAAACAAACAAATAAATTCTTGTTCTGGCTTTGTCCCTCAGCGGCAGATGATAGAGCTAATTCCAGTCACTGAAGTCCACTACCAGTATGCTGAGAAGACATACATGTATTACGTCTATGGAATGGAGAACAAGGTCCATGCCCTGGACTATCCAGAGAGGTATTGCTGTGGCTGTACCATCATCTGACAGTGGGACACTTTGCAAGGAGGATTCCTAGTATGAAGCAAGCTTTTCATCTTGCTTAATTATCCACGGGTGTCTGTGGGTACTAATCAATTCATCTTTTTACCCATCTGTAGCCCCGTCTTATTTTCGCTTGCCCACAGTAGCCACCAAAAGACATAGCAATTATTATAACCTAATTGTATTTACGCTACAGTTTCAGCCATTATTAATACTGTTCCTCTTGAGATCTAAGTGTCTGGTAAATTTATTGCATAGATGGAGAAATTGGGTGGTGGAGTGATGGAACTAGGAAGAACTCCAGGAAGAAAATGTTGGAATAAACTATGGAGGAGAAAAAGCACTTAAATGGAATACAGTGGATAAAAATATAAGAGGGTGCTGGATCAGGCCAAAGGCCTGGTTGACAATGACCAACCAGAGGCCCTGGAAGCACGACCCGAGTGCCACAGCACTCTTTCCATCTGTGATTCCCGGTAACTGGTATTCAAAGGCATATTGCCTGCAGTAATGGAGGTAGACCATAGCCATCATGACTGGTATCCATTGAAGGCTGTATATTCTTGGTGGTGTCCAATTAAGTCATACTCAGTAAAGGCCCAATGAAACCAAGGGACTCAAGTCCACTGATTTCAGTGTGTCTACTCAGACCTGTATGCCATCCAATATGTTGATTGCAAGCACTTGAAATTTAGATTCTTCCATTTGATTTGGGATCGCTAGTGGGAAAGGCCAAAGAAGATTGCTAGATCTTGCTCAGAGGCTGATTAAAATATATGGAAATATGTAGCACTTACCTTGGAGGGGCTCAAATGCAAGCTGGACTTTAAAAGATGTTACGTTAGCAGAGTGTATTACACTGTAGAATATATTTTTGTATTAGTATATTTGTATTTTTTGTATGAGTATATATTTTTCTTTTGCTTCAAAGTCACACTAGATTAATGGTTGGGCTACAGTACTGGGCAGAATGGGAACATCATTAGGTCTACATTTCAAAAAGGGGAAATTTGGACACAAAAGTTGTTGAGCTTTTGTCCAGGAAATTCTGGACGTATGGCAGTCCTAGTCTACAGTATATGCATGTAGTTTTAGTTCTAAAATAGTTTTTAAGGATGATGGGATCCATGAGGAGGAGGCAAATTGAGGTTTCATGCTGGATCTCAGAGACCAGTATGCTCTGCAGAAAAAAGTATTCTCAAAAGGTAGGTCTAGGAGACTCTATTAAAGTGCAGTTCTGATACAAGTTTACTCTTCATAAATGCATGGCCAGCTATGAGCAATCATTCCAAGAAACCACCAAGACAATCTCCAGTATTCCACATGCACCAAGTAGTTATTTTTATGAGTCACAAAATTACCTACCAAAATTCTCTTATTGAGTATTGTACACATTTGCAATATGTGAATTCCCCTTGTCTTGCTTACCTGTTTTATCTTGTTTTATGATACAGAAGAAAAAAATAGGGTGCTTCATTGCTAGGTTTCTTGTTTACTGTACTAATCATATTTACACTAACAGCAAACCTTTGTTAAATGCTTTATGCAGGATTGCTGCTATTAATGCTTATTTTAGGAAAGGACTGAGAATTTCCCCTTTTGAAGACTGTCCACTAGAGGGAAGCAGTGGCAAAAAAAACCAACCTCCTGAATTGTTTTCATTTAGTGTGTCCGTGTGTTTATGTCCGTGTGTTTATGGCATCATTCTTGCATTTATTATTATCTTGTCATTGTTATTTTTAAAATTATACCGCTTGGGTCCTAATCAGGTTTATTAAGAATTGTTCTTTCAAATAACCATCCTTAAATTTGCAACCTGTTAACAGAGGACAGTTTGTCAGTGTATGAAGTCAATTCCCTAAAAGCAATAGGCTTAAAACCTTGCTTCACCATCTAGCCACAATTTTAATACAGAGAGTGAAAGATGTGTGTTTTATGAAGAAATGGTGAACCATAAATTTGCTGACAGCTAAGTTCAAAGGACATAAATCCAGAAACAGCATCAAACGTTCTATTATATATGTAAATTTAATAGCTACTTCAAACAGGTACTATATGGTGGTGAACCAAAATAAAGAACATCATTAATCTTGGATTAGGGTTTCTTTGCACATTATAAAGATTTCTCATAACCTGGACTATTACAGTCCCTTTAAGAACTTCTAAACGTTTTCTCTAAGTCAGCTTTTTACAGACTTCTTATTTTCCCTAATTCCAGCTCAACATATGATATGTTTCCATTTATGAAAGTGTATGCTGTTTTAGAATAAAAAGCTTCTAAAAAGTTAGCCTTAAGGTGCCATTAAGCGCATTTCTTTTATCTGAAATAAAGGGGCATATGGAGTGAGAAAGAAATAAAAATTAGACAAGATCATGCACATGACACAAAATGTTTGTTCACTGCTCCCTTTAACTGTGTAAGCAAATACAGTCGTAAATGCTGTTCGATATGTATGAGTTGGAAAGAAGCTGCATTGTGAAATTAAATATCTTTTTTGAAAAAAATAATGCTGTGTTCATAAGAACGGTTCCTACACGGTTTTTCAAGCCAGCTTGCACCTTCAATTTGGCATCCTCTGATACCAGGCTTCAAAAGCCAAAGCAGTGCACGCTATTGCAGAGTTAATGAATACACACAGCAGGCAGAAAAAGGTCTTTAGCAATATATTATAGCAGGAGGGGTGAAGCCATTCAGACAGTGAGTGTGGGAGTAATGATGTTACACATACACAGGAGTGTTTCTATTTTCATCTGTGAAATCTTGGAGGATAAGATGTGGGAATAAATATCTCTTGAGGTATTACCAGCTTTCCCAGGCAACTCTGGAATCCATGGCAGTGAGATACCATGCAGATCTGCGCTCTCTCATAGACAATGAGAAAAGGTACAGCAAGAGTCACTCACATCTAAAGAAGTTATCTCTTAGAAAAGTTGCAGCAGACGTTAAAGGGACGTAGGAACACAGGTGTCAGCGGCTGCCTCAGTTCCCAGCTCACAAAGGACCAACGCCAGTTGCTCTTTATAAACAAAAGTCTTTATTGTGGTTCATTGTTGGTTTGACATCCGTGGCGCGCAGCGCTACGTCTGAGTCCTTAGACCGGCGAAGTCCCGTCTGAATCCGCCCCTCCTTTACACCAGTTCAATACCCGAGCTTTGCTCCACCTCTTCCTTTCCTCCCTCTGCTCCTTTCGCCTCCGGGTCCTCCTGCCCTCTGGGGTCCCAACCCTCCTGGACTCTTCGGAGGCGGATTCTTCTGACTCCTCCCCCTGTCTCCGGCGGGGCTTTGGGACCTGGCTCCCAATCCGGATTTTCTGCTGTCCCTCGCGCCTCTACATTTGAACTTGGCGCGCGCGCCCAGCCGCCCACTTTCCTCCTAACGGCTACACTGCTCCCTTCACTGCTTTCTCCTTCAGGGAGGCTGGCCGGCCCTGCTCTCTCCTCCGCCCCTCCACTCTCTGACGGAGGCGTGGTCAGTCCTGCCTCACTCTCTCCTCCTGCAGGAGGAGGCTTTTGTTCTAATCTGTGGGATTCTCCCCCCCCCCGCTGCGCTCTGGTGGGGAAGCTAGCCCTGATTTCCAGCTGCCGCTTGGCGACTCCCCACTGGCCCCCCTTGCCCTGACCCTGGGGGCCTCCTTCTGGGAATCTTCTGATTCGCTGGAGAGACTCAGGGAATCTCTCTGGTCACTGTCACACCCTCCTGCGCTCCCCTCCGATTGTTCCCCTTCGCTCTCCATCTCCTCCTTCTCCCGTGGCTCAGTCCCTGAGCCCCTGACAACAGGAAACTATTTTGAGCCAGACATTGATCCATCTAGCTCCCTATTGTTTACACTGACTGCTAGTGGCCCTTCAGGATTTCAGGCAGGAATCTTTAACATCTCTACCTGGAGATGCCAGGAATGGAATTTGGGACTTTCTGCATCCAAAGTAGATGCTGCGCCATGGAGCTACAGCCCTTCCCTGAGAGAACTAAAACTGTGGTCTTCTCTTCTCAGTGTCTTCTGTTAGTTTGGTGTCACCAATGCCTGAAAGGGGCTCATGCCTGACAGATTCCTGACAGAAGTGCCTTTTTTTCTAAAAAAAATATGTTTAGGGGTACTCTCATTTTGACTCCAAAAAATCACCATTTTATAGTTCAAATTGGGAAAAATAAATACAATAAAAGGACAAAAGTACAAAGAACATGCATTACCTCATATTACACAGCTCACAGCTCACAGTAACTTCCACATTGGAAGTGCTAGATTCCAACTCCTACTTCACATAGTAAACACTCACTTCCATCTGAGACGCAGGGGAAGCCCGAGCTTCCCCCGACCCCAGCCCCGAGAACAGCCTGCTATCCGCAAGCCTAGGGAGCCCGGCGGGAAGTCGCGCCAGTCCCCCCAGGCTTGCGGAGAGCTGCGCGAAGCCCGGGCACGCTCTTCAGCCAGCCCCAGGCTTCAGAATGCAGGCAGCTCTGCACAGCCCTCGGGAAACCGGCGTGAATTCGCACCGGGCTCCCTAGGGCTGCGCAGAGCTGCACGAAGCCGGGACTGCAGGCAGCTCTGCGCAACCCTCGGGAGACCGGCGCGAAGTCGCGCCGGTCTCCCGAGGGTTGCGCAGAGCTTCCTGAAGCCTGGAGAGCGAGAGGGGTCGGTGCGCACTGACCCCTCTCGCTCTCCAGGCTTCAGCGAAAGCCTGCATTCGCCCCTTAGGACGCACACACATTTCCCCTTCATTTTTGGAGGGGGAAAAGTGCGTCCTATAGGGCGAAAAATACGGTACATCTAAGCTAAACAAGCTATAGCTTAGGGCCCCACGCTCTTGAGGCCCCCCCCAAAAATAAAGAAAAACACACACCTGGATGTACATTTCCAAAATATAAGATAAAAAACAAATAAAATATAGTAAAACCTACATACAGCAACAGTGATTTGTGCTGTGTAGGCTCCTATGATGTAAGTAACGGGCCCCGCCTGCTATATAAAGGGCCCCATTACCTTCAGTAGCTTAGGGCCTCATCAAACCTAAATCTGGCACTGGCAATGGAACTGATGATTCACCGTGCTAGAGAAGAAACTAAAAATTTTAAATCTCTTCTGCCGTTAGATTCACAAAATGTTTAGGGGCATGTGTAGCCCTGCATCCGCCCCAGAAAAAAG